AATAATAACAATAGTTATGCTAACAACAGTACTAGGAACTACAACAAAAGGCAGCAACAGGAGTAACAACAGCAACAGCAGCAGCAACCAATTGATACTCAATGCAAAGTTAATTTAGATGAAAAAAAAAAAAAACGAATAAGATCTTAAATGTTGAAACAATTTAAGGGTAAGCCAAATTTATTTGTCAATTATGTAGGCGAGATGTGGAAAAATCAAGCAAAAAGAGACAGAGAGGATAAGTTGCCTGGCTGCAAGAAGGAATCTAATGCTGATCTGTGCAGGAAGCGACACATTGTCATGGTTTCAACTAGATACGGATGTTGCAGTCTCACTCACACACACACACACACACACACACACTTGCACTTATATATATATATACAGTATAGTAAGAGAATTTATTCTTAATGGATTTTTAATTGTAAAAGTCTTGTTCTGGTGGGGCAAGCAAAAAGGGTTTCCAAGGCAGCTAAGAAGTGAGTGGAAAAATTAGGGCGCGAGTAAAAAGGTTTTAACTAGCAGCACTCAAATATTTACAAAAAAAAAAAAAAAAAAGAAAACAAAAAAGCTTGAACTAAACTTAAACTAATTGTATTTCAAGAACTACTCATTATATATGGAATTACAAAATTTTACAAATTTAAAACTAAAAAGAAAATCGTTGGACCTGTCAGACATTTGTGCCAAAATCTCTTGGTGGTAGTGCCAACTTCCTTGGCTGCACTCTCTCTACTTGCACCTGTTCGTTGTTGCATTTAACACTAATATGTGCACACCCACAAAACCACACAACCCCGAAACACAAACACAAACACAAACACACAGACACACTAACCCACCCGGAAACCACTCTGATACTCTATATATTAAAAAGAAAGAAAGTTAGGAGCAAACACCGAACATTGAAGACATTTTAAACGAGAGATTTCTATGCTGCTAACCATTTTACTGTTTTATAAATATATATATAAATGTATAATTAATTACGATCTAATGGATGTTCTATGCATAAATAACAACAACTGTAAAATAGTAATGATAGTTAATCCGATATTTATATAACAGAAAACAATATTCAATGGGATTTTCTCTGCATATTTACATAGATATATATATGTACGAGTATATAGATGTATCTATGATGTACAAATCGGTGCGTTTGATCGATGTTAGTTGACCTTGAAGACATGCATTATTGATTAGCCCTAATCTTAGCGATGAAGCAGTTTTAAACTAATCTAATCTAAAACTAAACTAATTCACTGATTACGGATACTAAACTAATGTTAATTTATTTATAACCAACATGGGAGTGTGTGCGAATGAGTCTCGAACTGAGCGATGACCGATAGGGATCTATTAGGATCTTTGATCTGATTAGCCAGATCCGGTTGTCAATGCATGTGGCCGAGTTTGTTATCCAGTCGATATATATCTTACTTATATATATATATACAATACACACACATGCGTGAGCTAATATTAATTTTTGCAGACTCTTCTTACGGTGTAAATATGATTGATGATTCTCCCACGGTTTCTGCTAGTTAATGTATATTTAAAATCAGTTTTTCTGTAATTTGTTGTTGTACATTGATGGCCAAAATCCCCGATATTGGTGCGCACACACACACAAAAACATAAATAAACACACACAAACATATACAACACACTCACACACACACACACACAGATGAAGAAAGAACGTCTAATTGCCTAAAGAATTAATGCATAATTCTATTAAATATATATATATATAGTTATATATTATATACACACATATTCATAATATTTATTTGTTCTACTTCTTAACATGAAATGTTTAGTAATTAAATTTACATTTATTAATAATGCTACATCAAATACTGCCCCCGACTTAATGTTTGTTTAATGTTTATTTTTAACGCTGTTTTGTTAAACAAAAAAAAATTTGAAATTTAAGAAATTTATCTATATATGATGTGATAACTATAGTAAAACTAAACACACACACACCCACACATACAAACACACACACACAAACACACACATTACAAATTGAAATTATGTTAATTAAGCAAGGAGATTTAGAGAGTTGAAAGTTTTTTTTGTAAAAAAAAACCAATCGAAAGTAAATCTATATAATTTGTGTGGTATGCAAAATGGTGCTAAATCCAAATATACTTTAAAGTATAATGAGTAGGACGAGAGGGAATCCTTGAATCGTATCGTATGTGCAATATGACTAGTTTTCATTTAAGGTGCAGGATCTTGACAAGACCACGCAAAAGCCAACCATTTGAATTATGCGAAGAAAAATCTAAGAAAATAAAACAAAAAAAAAATATATGTAAATACAAAGCGGTGTTTGATACCCCTTTTCAAAATAAACAACAAAAATGAAAATGCTGTTTCACATTTTCTCAAAATATATTCAAAAATCCTTTTAAATGTCACAAAAGAAAACCAAGAATTGGGGATGAGACAACGCCAGAAAAAACTAAATAAATGTTAGCATATCACTATGATTATATAAATATATATAAATATATATATATATATATACATCTGATATAGCAGCAGGCAGAAGAACAGTTAGTTAATGAGAACTTTTCGCTACAATTTCTGTGTCTATTTACAATAAATGTCATAAAGCTTATCAAATTTAAAAAGAAACGAAAAAAAAAAAAACACCCAAATGCCACACCAACACAACCAAACACACCGACAGCCTATAAAACACACTCTCATATTTATTTTTTTGGTGCCTATTTTTGTAGAACCATATTTTTAATTCAGTAAATTGATTTCGATTCTTGAATTTTTGACTTCGTTTAACCAATTTTTTAACAGCATTTTTGCAGTCGATCAGGAGTGGTTCGAAACTTTAATTTTAATGACGTGCTAGTTTCAATGTAAACTTAGTTTAATCTAATTCTTTTGTATTAATAAATGCAATACAAACTATTTTTAGTTTTATTTATAAACAACAAGAACAACAACAACAACAGCGGCAGCAACAACAACAACAACAACAGAAAATGTTGAAAATACAAAACAAGAAAATAGACAAGAAAATGAAAATCAGTTTAAATTAAAGTTAAGCAAATTGAAGCAAGCCAACGAAATGCTTGCAGCATTTGTTACGATTTATATATACACATATAAATATATATTACAATATTTTTTAAAACGATTTTTAATAAACATTCTATCTATTATGGCAGCCTTTCAATGAAAATAAAAACATAAAAAACAAATTGAATTACTAAAACAAAATAATAAACCTAAAACATAATAAAAATCATAAAAGCAAAAAAAAAAAATAACTATAACTGAAGAACAGGCAGATGAACCAATCTCACACACACACACAAAAACACACACACACATACAGACAGAACAGAGACAAACAAACAAAAAAAAAAAAAAAAAGAAATCAAAACTAAATCAAATAAATTGAATTTTATGGAAACAAAACTAAATGTGGTGATCACTTTATTATTATTTTTGATCCTCTGACTCCGAAATACCGATTCCGAAACCGAAACCGTATCTCCGAATCCCGTTCTGCTGTGCGCTTTGAATTGTGCTTCCAACGATGTTAGGGGTGCCCATGAAAAGTCGAACTAATGTCTAAGAAAAACTATATATACCTGCTATATACTATATACCAACCAACCAGATACATTCACCTGCACATTTGTCTACACACATAAGCGCACAAACACACATCTACACACACACACAACATATACACATACGCATAGAGAATTTTCAAACCTCGGCCCAATTTCCTGTTTTTTTTTACAATATTATGATTTGAATTTGTTAACCTCTTTTCAACATTTATGAATACCCTACTTTATCTAAATAAATATATATAAAAAATATATATATATATGGATTTATTATGTATCAGTTTCAGCCCGAATTCGTTAAGTGTAAGCTAAAATGATTCTTTGCACAAATGAGTTACACCCAAAAAAAAAAAAGTTAAGTTAATAATTATTGGTATTGAAAAATACAAATATATACAGGAAAAATGTGCGAGAACCCTTCATTTGATCATAAAAGAATTGTTGCCCACATTTGTGCTATAAAAATGATATATTTATATATAAACTTTAATATGCCAATACATCTACATGTATACGTCGATTGTGACTAATTTTATTTGTATAAAAACAATAATTAATAATGAAAGCCGAAAGAAAGGTTATTCCAGGAAAGAACGGAGGCATTTTATAAGTTAATTTGTAAACAAACAGTGCATTGAAATAAAATTAGCAACATATTTTTATTTAAAAAAAGAAATAAATTAATTCAAAACTGTTGCCTACTTATTCGGTGCACTGTTCAAAAATATTTTATAAAAGCTTAGTTGTAAAATGAGCCCGCATTTATATACTACACTTATATATTTCTAAATTTAAAATTATTATAAATTTATATTATTAAAAAAAAAGTAAATAATATTTCATTTGCACGCTGAAATATATGTGAGGAGATGCAGAATTTGTTATAAAAAGAAAAACCTTTTGTGTTAGCTACACTTTTATGTATATTTTCCGTTGACCTAAGTTGCTTGATTGTAGTTAGTCACGTTTGTTTGTTTTTATAATTACTTATATTTGTCTTAATATTTTTTTTTTAGTAATTTTTCTTTAGTTTTCTAGTTTAGTTTGATCTTTTTTCATTATTGCCGCCTAAGTATATATTTGTTTTTTAGCTCACAAAACGAAAAACTCTACCTATCTCTGTCTCAAGCCATGTATCTCTCCCCTCTTTCTCTGTCTGTCTCTCTCTCTCTCTCACACACTCACACTATTACACCACCTCCCCACCCACTCTATCTCTCTCTCTCTCGTCTATTATACAAAAAAAATCCAAACCAAACCAAAAACCAAAAAAAAAAAACAAAAAATCAAAGAAATCTATTTCTCTGGGCTGATTTTCGTCCCGCTCGACGGGCTGTTGTGTGTTCTGTTCTTCTCTTTCTCGTTCTCGAACCGCAGGCAGCAGCGCCCGCCATCACCTGTCGACCCCACTGTCGACCTCGTCGTCGGCCTCGCCCCCGCCGCCCCCTTTTGGGATGCACCTTTCGGCGGCCCTGAAACGCGAATACTACATCGCCGCTGGCAATGGTCACAACAACGGTCCACCCGCCTATGGCTACAATCAAGGATCGGGCAATACGCCAAATAGTGCCGGAGGTCCGGGATCAGGAGCTGGAGGAGTTGGAGCTGGCGGTGGCGCCGGCGGAGCATCAGCAGCTGGCCATAATTCACATCACACCATGTCGTACCATAATATGTTCACACCGTCCCGCGATCCGGGCACCATGTGGCGTTGTCGCTCCTGCGGCAAGGAGGTTACCAATCGTTGGCACCACTTCCACTCCCACACCGCTCAGCGGTCCATGTGTCCCTATTGTCCGGCCACCTACAGCAGGATCGATACGTTGCGTTCACATTTGCGAGTCAAGCATCCGGATCGCCTGCTCAAGTTGAATTCGTCTATTTAAGGGCGTGGCCGGGGCACAAATACAGCCCATCAACGCCAGCTTTATCAGCAGCAGCAGCAGCAGCAGCAGCAACAGCAACATCTACAGCAGCAACAGCAACCAGCTTACTACATCAGCAACTTTAGCAACTACAGCAATAGATATAGCTACAGCGAGAGTTTATTGTAAATCGCTGAAGTTTTAGGTGGATTTTTTCTTGCATTTAGTCGTCGTCTGTACATTACCCACTAGTAGCTATTCCAAGCAATAAACAATAACCCAAAACTAGTAGAACCGAAGATGCTATGGCAAAAACGAAACGCGTAAAAAACACACACAAATATATTGATAATCTTAAATATAAACTATTGGTAAACTTTGACACAATCGTCCCATCAATTTATACTATAAATGTGTATAACTAAAACAAATATTAGGAAAAGGTTTCAGTTGCTAATTAAGGAGAAGGATTTACCCTATATAAAATGAGGGCAGCGAAAGCAGATCTAAAAAAAAAAAAAAACGTTTTCTAAAGCCACACACAACAAACCGTTTCAAAAGGTTTCTAAATGTTGTTTCCTAAAAAATAAAAACTAAAAAAAACAAAGTAATATAACTACACACACTAATGATAGAGAGAGAAAAAAAGGTCGAAGGAAATAACTTTTGAGCTGATACGGTCAGCGTAATGGGGTCACCACCGAAAGCGCGGTGGGTCACCAGATGGAGAAGAAGGATTCAGCCACCACCACAGCAACAGTCACCCACAACTACTACTCATACGAAGGTCACATTAGGTTTTAGTTAACTTTATCGTTTAATGTTTAGATCGTAGTGTTAACCAATATGTTCTGCAGAGTAGGCGCAACGGATGAGGGCTACTCAACCAACTACAAAGAAATTTTCATATACCTCAAATGCATTTCAGTTTTATATTGTTGATTGCTTAATTTTAATCTATGTAGACATAACTATACCACATATATATTACTTTTTAACCGGTTCCAATTGAAGATAGCCAATAGTTTACCAATGTTTTCCTCTGTTTTTTTTCATCCTGTGTTCTCTACTTGATTTCCGATTTTGTCCTATGCATTAAGTTAAAGTTTAGGATTAGCTCGAACCACTTGAACCACCTCACTTTTTTGTTAAGCTTTGTTTGTATTTATGGTCAAATGTTTATTTAGTTAAAGTACACTAAAAACTTATATTTTATAACTCGAAGAAAAGAAAGTTAGTTGATATGAGGGCTAATGAAAGAAAATAATCATATCACGAAAAATCAACCACAAAAAAAAAATACGATTGGAAAAATCTATTTAGAAATTATATTTTTAATTTGCTTAATTGTCTGCTCAATTGGCAAGAAATTGGAGAAATTTTATTATGATTTGTAAACGATTATCTTGCTCTTTGATTACCATAACCAAAACGTCCTCGCAGAGACGGCAAAAGTAATTAATTTTAAACATTTTGTGATAGACAAAATTATGTTTCGGCACAAAATCAATTTAAAAAACAAACAAAACAAAAAACACCTATAATAAAGCAAAATAAAATATAAAATTAAATGTGATATTTTCGGCACAAAACTTTACAAACAATTAAAAAAAAAAGCGAAATAAAAAATAACAAAAAAAAATCAAATATCTTGAAGGAGAAGCAACATTTGGCTAAAGTTGCTTGCCTTTTGCATATTTATTTAGAGGATTTTTTTGTTATAGAATTATTCAAAATTGTTATCTTTCGGTCCAAAGCACAAAATGTATAAAATTACTTTCTAGTTACCCTTTAATCTTACTTTTATTTTAAATTTACTTTCTTAATTTTAAGTTACGAGCATGTGCGTGTGTATATATCTAATTAAAAACCAAAATATGTACACACAGAGATCATAATTTTATTTAGTTTTACGTTGATTGAGTTGAAAAACTTTAAGCCAATAAACTACCGCAAAATTAAAAACAATTACAAAAAACAAAAACAGCACAGATGTTAAGGCAAACCACTACTACACACAGATTTATGTACCAAAAATGTAATAAATATGAAATTATATAAAAAAAAAAAAACAAAAAACAAAAACTAAGCAGCGAGAAACCAAAAGAAAACTAACTAGAGAAAGCTGAAGAGGAAACTTAGCTGGATTTTTCTAACCTTTTTTCCCATACATAAGCGTAAATCGTAAACGAAATATTTTTATACATCCATCTTGTAATCGGCCGATTGAAGAGGAGAGCTACTAAAGTTTTGGGCCTGGAGAGGGTTGCTCTGTGGATTTGGAAACTGGGATTTCAATTCCAATAACTCCACTTTCGTCACGCGTGAAAACAAAAGAACAACAGCGAGTTGTAACTAACTTTATTTTTGCTCTACAGTTACAAACTCAATTGATCAATATGCAAATACAAATGTGGCACACACACACACACACAGCAATGGAAAAATATTATTAACAGTTTTTTGTCGTCTACCAGTTTAAATAAATCAATCCATTAAGAAATATATATATCAAGCGAATATATATATATGTATTTCAAATTTATTCAAATTAAAATCAAAAATATAATTCACTAGCAGCATTTAAATGTCAAGCAAAACAGCAAATAAAACCAAATAAAATTTATGATTATTATTATTACATATATCAACAACACTCGTTTCATGTTCTGCCCTTCATTACCACGTCCCTCTCCTTGGAAGCACAATTCAAATCGTTAGGTTCGGGATCGAGTTCGGATTTGGGGTTTCGGAGTTCCATTTAGGGTGTCTGGGTCGAGTTTGTGGGTGGACATTTCATTTTACAGGGCCAACGTACCTATGTGGATGGCAATTTTGGTAAATGGGTAAGTCATTGGTTTGTTGTGGTAAGTTAAATTTATTTTGTATAGATTTTTTATTATAACTGCAAAGGAACATAAAGCATAAATAAACTATATAATTCTTAAAAGCAAATAATTTAAAGTAATTTTTAATTAAATAAGACAACTCCATAAATATCAGTCGATATGTTTAATAAATATAAATTATTGGATTGGAATGAATGAAAATTAAAGAAAAACCCAAACCAAAATATTTGACCATCTTTCAAAATTACTTAGAGGCTATACAAAAAAACTTTTATTTTTAAGTATAACTGTATAGATGTAAAAAATTGATAAGATTATACTGCGATGATATAAATATAAATGCGATTAAATAAATATGTTCTACAAAATTTAACTAAAACCATATAAAAAGAAAAATTGTTCAATAATAAACTGTTACTGCAATCTTTTTGAATATTTTAAATGATGTCACCGTTTCGACAGAGATGCCACCTCACGCACTCCTACAGTATTCCATAAACTGTAAAAGGCGGGCACTCTAAAAATCGATTTTTCGTTTGTTCGTGTTCGTTATGTTTAAAAGTCAGTGTGACCGAACTTTGAAGTATTCCTTATATATCGATAGTTAGCAATAGCACAATAGCAATGGTAAGAATAAACAATAATAAATGAAACCGGCTTCCAATGTCTTGCCTATTATACAAGAAAAATCGCCTAAAAAGAAATGAATATATTCTGTGTTCCCAAAAAGAATTAAAACTATCGTAAGATGCAAACTACCGATAGTGCCATCGATAGTTCTGGCTGCTCTAGTCGCGAAAACACAGACGCAAGATAAAAGAAAAACAGACGAAGAGGGAAAACGGGAAATACGCGGGAAGTGCAGCCTAAACGCCAAATTTTTCACGCGCAACGATTAACGAGAATAAACAGCGTAAGTAGCGGTTATGTGCATGTAAATTGCATCGGTAAATGCAGAATGCAATGCGCCGGAAAATTTTGCATAAACTTTTGTGAAATTTCAAGTGCGTTTGTGTGAGTGTGCAGCAGCAGCACCAGCAGCGAGTGACCGTGTGTGTGTGTGCGAGTGCGCTGGTGTTGAAAAAATCTATCTCTTCGCTACGCATTTTCACCCCCCGTTTTTGCGTATTTGATCTGTCTTCCTCTTCTTCTGTATCAGCACAGCCGCCCGCCTGCGTATGTGTGTGCGCCTGTGTATGTGAGTGCGTCTCTGCTTTCGTTTTTTAATTCTTTGTTTATATTTACGTATAGTTTGTTTGGGGACCCAAGTTTTATTGTTGTTACCCGAAGGCGGATGCTCTTTCCCGCTTTGATTTATCGCCCCTTATATTGTTCGACTCCGATACTGATATTCTCAAAAGCTTTCGACGTCTGCTTCGTCACACACACAATCGTTAATCAAAGTGCCATAATTTTTTATGACCTCCAAGTTAGGCTATCCCTTTCAGAGGAAAACTGTGAAAATATTGTAGGAGGCATTGGGAAAATGTGCCAAAACCAACAGGAAAAGAAATTATAAAATTCAAATTTTTAATATTTCAATTGTTTTTTTAATTAAAGCTAATTAAACAAAAACAATTTCTGAACGTAATATAGTTGATTTATTGGTTCGACCAGCAATTATATAGCTAACTGAAGAAATTAAAATCTCTATTCTTATCCTATTTTGTTATTTCACATAGCCTAAATATTTTTCTTCACAGGAATTATTACTTATGTTTATTTGTATCAATGTTTGATGGGGATTAGCAGGAATCGTAAGATTTATATCACCTACTCTTAATAATCTTAGAGCATGGCCTTAATGATAAACTATATTCATTTGTTTAATTTCAATTTAAAGATATTTCTCAAAAGATATTCTTTTAAATAGTTATCCTATCAATATTATATTTATAAATATCATAATTTTTTTAAGTTTTAAAGGTAATCCTATTATGAACCATTTTTCTATACAGATCGGAAAGTGTTTCAACCTTTCCCCAACTATATAGCACCTGTTTATGAGTTGATTGTTCATAAATTTGACGTAAATTGCCTTATTTAGAACCGCAGGCACTTGCTCGCATATATATCTGAGCCGCATTATTTGTTTTTCATACATTTTCCTTTCCTTTGGCTTTTCCGCTCATTTACTCTCTAACTTTGAGAGATTTTCCCTCGAAATAGTTTTGGACCAGTTGAATTTTGGCGCCCGCGTTGATCGGTTGTGTTCAGTAAGGAAAATCTTTCGTTTGGCTTTTGGAAAATGTGCCGTGCAAAGGCGTGGGTTTATTTTTAGCTAATGTGCTGATTTCCCCGCTCGTCGTGCTCTACATCGGATTGAGAATCGACAACTGATGATTTAATTGCATATCGCCTGGCTTTAAAGTCTTTCGAAAATAAGGGAGATTTCCAGAATTGGTGGAATCATTGTTATATAATCCATGAAAGATTAAAATGCCAAGCAAATTTCAAAGGAAACCATCCCCCGCAGGTGGAGTTGGGGGAGGAGTCGTAGGACTGGGAGGGGCATCGAGTATTTCCTCTACACCGAGCAATCAGCCCCGGAAACGGGTGAAACGATGTTGCCGGAACTTCGTCACCTTTATGTGTACCCAGGTGGGCGTGGGTGCTTTGATCGTGTTTTATGCCATCTGTGGTGCCTTCGCCTTTATGCACATCGAACGGCAGTTTGCGGACGAGACCGCTGATCATGTGTTGCAGCTGCGCGAAAACTGCTCCCAGCAGCTGTGGGGCATTACGGAGGAACACAACCTTATAGATCGGGGACGCTGGACAGAGGCAACGAATGCGGTTCTGCAGGAATACCAGGCACAAATAGCCGGAGTCATCAAACAAGGATATGTGGGAAGGAGTCCGGAACAAATCTGGAGCTTTCCAGCTGCCCTTATGTTCTGCTTATCAGTGATAACCATGATCGGCTACGGCAACATGGTGCCCAGAACTCCATGGGGCAAGGGGTTTACCGTAATCTATGCCACTTTTGGTATACCCCTGTACATCCTGTATTTCTTGAACATGGGAAGAGTGCTAGCCCGCTCGTTTAAATTTCTCTACCGCTCAATGCACGACTGTACGCAGGAACACCCACGTCTGGATCGTTTGGACGCCCTTGAGGGAGGTGTCACTATCTCACGCAAAAAGGTCATTGTACCGTCAACCGCTTGTCTTTGGGTAATATTCTTCTATGTCCTCACTGGCACTGTGATGTTCGCCAATTGGGAGAAGTGGAGCTTCTTGAATAGTTTCTACTTCTGCATGACATCACTGTGCAAAATTGGATTTGGAGACTTTGTGCCAGGGGCTTCGCTGACAACCACAGCAGATGTGAAATGCGGCGACACAAAAGCTGCAGGAGGATATCTCGGCCGATCCTGCCGAGTTGGCTCAGCTGCAGTCTGTGGCCGCTGATCAGCACTCTAAGCTGGCCATTAACTTCGTTTACATGCTATTGGGCATGGGTCTGGTGGCCATGTGTCGCAATCTTATGCGTGAAGAGGTGCGCATGAAGGCGCGCGAGATGCGAGAAGACGCCAAACTTTGCATGGAGGACACGCGGTTGCGCTTTGTCGGCTGCTGCGGGAATCCTCGGGATGCCTATGACAACGATTACTACTAGGATAACCAATAGGAAGATGGGAGCCTTTCTGAAGCGAGTGATTTATTTAGTTTTTCTGCAGTTTCGGTCAGTGTTGACCCTTAAGTTAACTTTAATTTCCAAGAACGAGGAAAGAAAAAATGTATTAGAACCATCCCATACTTATAGTACAGATTTTCAGATCAGTTTTGTACTTCTGCTTAATTTATACCTTGGACATAGCCGTCAATAAGTGTAAATACGTTATTCGGTGTTCTTTCAATACAATATTTCAGTCATTGTTAAGATATTCGTAAGAAAACAAGTAAAGTGTAGTTAATATAGTTTATAAATTCTTTCGAGAAAGTTTTAAATACCAAGTTTTGTGTGTGTGCTGTGAACTTGATTTTGAATTACGTTTTTCAATACATTACTCTGAAAAGCAAGTAATATCGACTGCAACGATTTCAATACAATCCTGCAGCTCACCATTGATCAATTCCTGCAACTGCAAGAGCGGATCCGTAACTTCGAGGGCATGCTTGGCGGCGGCAGCGGGGAGCGTCTGTGCACGCCAAGCACTTCGGCCGGCCCCTTCCGCATCTTCTCCGTGGCCGGATTTCAGAACCGGGCCAATGACATCGTCTACTGCCCGCCGATCGTGCGTCAGCACTCGGTACACGTACCGGAGGACTCTACGGCCATTATATACTTTGGCGGGGATGTACAGGACTTTCCGGAGAGCATGGAGACGAACCGCGACAGCAGAGGCTACATGAAATACAACCTCGAGAACTCGGCCATACTTCTGCGTGAGGCTTTTCCCAGGTCACACATTATTGTGATCCGACCAGTGCGGTAAGTGCTTGGAGTATGCCAATTTGTTTCTGAAACTTATTGATGATATTTATTTTTGCAGCATGGAATTTAAAACATTCAGCTGCTTTGACAACTTTGTAAGGGGAAACAACGCTGGAGTTCCGGATCACACCCCCATGAACCATGCCCTCCAGCACTTAGAAAAGTGAGTGTAATGTGTACTACTTGATGGAACAATTCATAAAAACAATTTGTTATCCCTCACAGACTGCTCCAAAATCTGTCGCAGCGCCTGATCTCTATACCCGAGAACGAAATCCTCGATCAAGCTGCCCAGGCAGCTGCAGCTGCGGCGGCGGTGGCTGCTGCTGCAGCGGCCGCTGCATTGACGCTATCCAACGCCACGGTCACTTCGGAGTCCAACTCACAATCAGCACCGGCCAATGATAGTAACCAAGAGATGGACATTGATATACTGCAGGTGCAGGAGAATATCACAGTTGATGCAGATGGGGCAGTTATATTTCCGATTGTGGGCAATGATACGCCTGAAACGGTAAACAATGTGTCGGGAAATAATGGCAGCATTGGCGGCGGTGGAAATGATGACAGTGTGAATAACCACCAGGAGCAGGTGAACAACCAGCAACTTCAACAGCAGCAGCAAACGGCGGCAGCCATAAAAATGAATTCTTCCGCAACGGCTCTAAATGCCACCAACAATGTGGAGCACTACAACAACGATTGCGCTACGAGGCAGGTTCCTGCTGCAAACGCAACATCAGCCTCCTCACCGGCATCATCGACATCCACTGCAAACAGCGACAGCAATCCGCTGTGGTGGCGCGAGAACCTCAACCTGGACAAGTCCAAGCTGGTGCTAATTGGCTTTAGCAAGGGCTGCGTCGTGCTCAATCAAGTGAGTCGCGTTTGGTTCGTTAACTGGTTGACCTACTCGCCACTGCCCCTGCCCCAAATCCTTTCAGAACTACAGATAAAGTGATAACCTTTATAAGGAAATCTGAGACTGAAATGGTTGTGGCAATCACATTTTTGACTTTTCTAATCTTTAATTTCGATTTTCTTTGTAGTTCATCTACGAGTTCCACTATCTCAAAACTCTGACGCCCGATGATAGCAGCATGTGCCGCCTGCTCTCCCGCATCTCGGACATGTACTGGCTGGATGGCGGCCACGGGGGCCAGAAGAACACATGGATTACATCCCGCAGTTTGCTAGAGACACTCACACGCATGGGTAAGTTGAGAGAGTTCCATGGCAAATGGAATAAACTAACGAGTGGGACTCTTTAAGCAGGTATGAACATCCACGTACACCTGACGCCCTACCAAGTTCAGGATGACCGTCGACCCTGGATTCGTAAGGAGGAGAAACTGTTCACGGAGATGCTAAGGCGGTTGAATGCGCCGATTACTCGTCACTTGCACTATGACAACCAGCCGGCTAACCTAATGACTCACTTTGAGGTGCTTCAAGCATTTTGCCAGCATGTCCACGCATTAAACCAACAGCAGCTGCAGCAGCAGCAGCAACAGGGAGTGGGGATCAGTGAGCAGTCTGCGACGGCGGTAGCTACCAACAATGGTAGCAACAATCTGTTGGAAGCCGGCGAGGAGGCAAAGTGACAGCTGCAACTGCATCCGCACCATCACAGGCGTCGCTTGCATGCGATGCGCAAGGGCACCGCTGCCCTCAAGCGTCAGCAGGTGGCACAACTCCGTCAGCATCACCAGCAGCTGTTGGCTGCCGCTCCGGAGCTCGCACTGGCGTCTTCCTCGCGCCTGGCTGCAGCCCTGATCTCGTCGGCGGTGGCTTTGAGCGCCTCGTCCGCGAGCCTTGTAAATAATCATCAACACAGCCATATTCAACAACAGCAACCGCAGCAGCCGCCACAGGCCCGCCATCATCACCATCCGGCAACATCTCACAGGCATCACCATCACCACCACCACTCACATCACCACTCGCACCACCATCATCATCAATGTCGCTCGAAACGCAAACTGCAGAAATTGTATTATACGCTTTGCCGTTAGATCTGTAACTTAACTATATCTATGTATACTTGTATGAGAGAAAGTTTCTTAGAACCACCAGCATCAAAAGCACTTAGCTTAAGTCGATTTACACCTGTCGTGTCGTCCTTTATCATATGACCAATGTTTCGTCCTCCATTTTTTTGTATATGTATTTATTTATTCCAATTTTTTTTCGTAATTGTACACATCATAATTGGCCGTAAACTGAAAGAATAAATCTCATCAGTGCAATAATATACATATATCCACTTATATATATACTGATTTCAAAATAATTTCTTATTTTATTCAAACACTCCAATCTATTTATTTGTAATTGAAAAAGATTTGTGATTTACGCACATGATATAAACTTCATATAAACTGTAAACTGTAATTGTAGCGTGTCTCAAGCAATTTTCGTTTTAAGTACCCCAAGGAATTTATAATATCATCCGCACAGACACATTTACCTAACCAATCTAGAACACACACACAAAACCCACAAAGCCCTCTGATTAAGTATTACTTAGCGTATGTAAGCTTTACTTTAAGTTGCAATTGGCAAGAAAACCACAAACAAAATGTACTTTACTTAGGTCGATCCTCAGTTACTATCGCGAACTGGGGTCAAAGTATCAAATTTGTGAGACGAGAATTAGCGAATAGCTAATATTCTCGTACAGGCTAGATTTTTTCTGATTGTGCTGGGCAAGTCAAAGAAGTACTCAATGCGAATAAAGTGAATTTTGCCAAGTCAGATCCAAGAAATAAATGTAATGGCGCGCGTTCCTTAAACTAAATATATCGATATGGAGATCATTACCGCTTCCGCTTATCCAACAGACAAGACAACCAGCAGCAAAGCAGAGAGAATACAATTAAAATTATAGTGCATATGAGGGAATAATTACACAAAATTTCGTACCTTTGTAGAATTTGCAGTTCAAAATTGCTTTAGAGTTTGTCAATGTACATTTTACGGATTAAATGCACAACAATTTTTTAGGCAAGAAAACCTATTTAACTAAAATTACTGACGGTCATACCATATAAATGTATATGTTTGTAGATGTAAATTGAACATTATAAATGAAAACGCTGCGAATTTGAAACCAAAAAGAAAAGTTCAGAGAAAGTCAAGGCAAAAAACCTAATAGAATTCCCTATGTAAATTCTACTGATTTTTGTGAGTCTGGTAATAAAATGAATAAGCATATATGGATAAAATAACAAGCACCTGAAAGAGTCTTTCTGTTTTCACATGCAGTTAATGAATGATCAATAATTACAAATTTGATTATACAATTTCTTGAATGTGAAAACCGGAACACTCTTGTTATATTTCTTGGAATTCTTTTCTTTTATTCAATCTACTTATTTTAAAATAAATTACAATTCTATTGTACTCGTACAAAAAATATCGCTTGTGATGCGCCAGACAGCTTCATCCTTGAGATTGGTGTCCTGGGTGCACAGGTGTGGGAGGTGGAAGGAAGAGGGTTCGACTGGCGGGAATGGGGAAATTGCAGCTAGCAACTACGCACAGTCGTTAGGGCACTTGGCCGCAGTTGTCCACTCATCACTACCGTCACAGCAGTCGCATACGTGATCATTGATCCGACTGCTGGCCACGTAGACATCCAGACCCCGGCCTGTGATGTGTCGCTTTTGGTAGCGGCAGTAGAATCGCCCCTTGGCACAGGCATTCGTGCTGGGCTCGTCACTACCATCGTCCTCGCAGTCGCAGTAGTTGTCATTAAGATGCTCGAAGGCGATCTCCTTGGAACCATCTAGACACCTGAACTTACCCTCGAAGTTTGGTTTGTATGCATCGTAGTCAAAGAGCCGGGTGCCCCTGTAGGATTAAAAGGCTGATGAATATATCTAATACCAGTTAGCATTAATATTTCTACCTGACAATCTTGATGGGATCTTCGTGTCCAGCAATCGATGAGGTGGCTCCTCCAGCAGGAGCAACTGCATCTGCTCCTCCGCCATCAAAGTCATCCACGTCGCGCTGCTTGCTGCCCAAAGACTGCATCATTTGCTGGTGCTTCTGCTTGATCTGCTGCAGATTCCACGGAGCGGGAACTCCGGGTAGCTGGTTCAGCGAGAAAGCCTAATATTATATTTTATATATTAATCACTTTGTAATGGCAAATTATTTTCAAAATTTACCTGATACGCTATGAAGGAAATCCCCACCAGGAATATGAGGAGCAGGAACATCTTCGATTTCTGCTTGTAGAAGGGCTTGAAATATATGTTCTCCCGTTTCACCCATGTTTTACGCATATTGTCCTTGTGTTTTGGTTTCGGCAAAGTTCTTTACTAAAATAATCCAAGCATAAAAATATGTTTTGTTTACGAATTCGCATTGTTTCTTTTGTCCATGCCAGAGTTTATCAACACTAATCCGAAGGGGCTAGAGTTGTCAACACCCCGTTAAATATGTATTTTAAACGAATTTTAATAATAATTAACAAAAAAAAGTAAATAATTGTTTTAAATGTTAAAATGATCATATCATTAACACTTACACTTTTATTTATTGTTATTATAATCCAAACGTATTGCTTACTATTCGTCAAATACAACTGCAGAATTTCGCAAATAAGTATTAAACTAAGAAAAATATTTGCAAATATGTATATATAACATATATTTTTAACTTTATTTTAAAGTAGTAGTAGTAGATCAACTATTATAAGCATTTCAAAAGTACTGGATCAACATCCTATTAATTTCCATAGAACAAAACACCTTTTTACTTTATTTACTCTTCGTATATGTAAATATTTAAATTGTCGGAATATGTATGTATGTCTAAGATATCGGCTCCGGTAAAAGCAATAGAGATCTAGTTTTACGACCTTATTATCATTTAATTCAACGTATTTTTTGTTTAAGTAGGCATGTAATTGCAGTGGACATTTGAGCATTCGTTGTTTATACATAGTCTGAGATAGGATTATGAGTGCATATGAGAGCAGAAAATAAATAAAATCAGATGAAAGGGAGGAATGGTTCTTGGCAGTCTTGAAGGGATTAGACGGCCTTCAGGAAGGCCTCATGCTTATACACCTCGATCACGTTCTCGATGATCTCCCACTGGTTCTCGCGCGTGAAATCCTTGACCAGGGGCTTGTACCACATGGCTGATTCGTCGGACTCGTCCGTCAGCGGTACCTGGATTCCGTAGGTCTGGAGAGCCAACGACAAACACCCGATGGCCACGTGGGTAGGCTTGTACTTAAGGATATTTGCGCTGTGATGAAAGTCTTGCAAATAGGATGCAGCGGCCTTTGCAATGGGAACCGAGTTCCATACCGCGGGTCCCACCCAGTCTTGCAGTGTCTTCATGTAGTATAGTAAGTACTTGTGGGCCAGATCTATGTTGAGATCAAAACCCAGAGTGCGTGTGATGAGTAGCTCGGCCTGGACAATGGCATCCCTCATCGACCAGTACTCATCGTTCAGATCCAGCGGAGCATTACCCCGGTTTAGGGTGCAATATGCCACGTTAATCACATCGCGAATCTTGACACTTTCGTCATCCTTGATTTTCCCAGCCAAATACAATGACGATGCGGCAATTAGCTAGTGATTTAAAAGAGATACCTATAAGATGGGTTTGATTAAATCTGTATGATATACCCACGAATTCATCGTAGTCACTGGCTTTGACCTCCTGGAAGAATCGATGGAATACTATGGCCGCACAGGCAGCCGTCAAGGGTTTCATTTTCAGTTTGGCAGCGCACTCGAAGATGTACATCGGCACGACACCGGGTTTGTTCAGCTTGCTGTGACGTGATAACACAGATATAGATTACATATCATAGAGTTAGGATCCTCCAACTCACCGATAGTCGATTGGCTTCATGGTCTGCGCCTTGTTCGACTCCACGTGCTGCTGCAACGACATTACATCCAAAACGTTTTTCATATTGCTTTTTCCAGGCTAAACTGAACGAAAATATGGATATGGAAGTGGTTTTTCTAAAGACTAATCAAGTTCGTTGGCACCAAAGGAGCAAAATAAAAGCAATGGCCTGCCCAATTGGGAAGTGAATGTGAACTGAAACCACCGAAAAATCGAGAGGCGACAAACCGGTTTGATTCAACTGCAGCGTTGTAATGGGAGTTATGATATGCAACGCGATCGGGAAAACTAACGGAGTTGGCTCTGCGTCAGCTGTTCGATTGGGATCCAATTAAAATGGTTGCCAAGTTTGTTTGACTCGAAACCCCAAGTCCCACTTCAATGTTTTTTCAAAAATAGTACCTACAACTAACAGGTCAAACAGCTGTTAGCATAGACAGTGTTGATAAAGGTCAATATACTGCTTTCTATAGGCTTTCTTTATAAAAGGTTGGCATTATTTACTGATAAAAAATGGCAATATAATAAATTTTAATTGATTTCCCTATGCCAATAAAAAGCCGCCACTGAACTTTATTAATAGTTAAACAACACTGGTCCGTGTTTGGCTCTCTTAGAAATCTGCACTGGCAGAAAATAGTTATTGAAAACATAAATAATAAAATTTTTTATGTTTATTTTGAAAACAAATTATTCGCGAATATACATTTCTAAATGAATATAACCATTTTGTCTTTACTATAGGCTGATCTCTCAATGTACGATAGTTAGCTCGTGATATGCGATAAACAGATATCGATAGCACTCGATACACATATCTCCATCACCAGCTGTTCCGCCTGCTCCTCGCCCCCTCGTCTAACATTCACCTCCTTCGGGTATTATCATTGTGAAAACTAAGAGCAACAGCAGTTTCTCAGCCAGCTAAAATAGGAAATGTGTCGCAACCAGTGGAAGATGGATCAATAAAGCGTGAATCTGCAACCCCTGACCGCTAATTGGATTCCCTTGGGCGACCAGCGACAGGAAACGGAAATTGCCGACCAGCGAGACCAGCAAAAATCACTTGCGAGATACACAACAAAGAGGCAAAAAGTGAAGATGAAGGCAAATAAGGCGAGGGCTGTGCGTCTCACCAGTTTGACGGAGGATGTGGCCGCCGTTCCGGAGGATGCGCCCTTCCGGGCACGTCTACACATATTGTTCGCACAGATCGAGCGGGAGTTTGAGCAGCTCTACTTGGAGAACCAGGCCTGTAAGTTTTCCCCCTATATTTATTCTTCCTTAGGGATTCAAATGATACATGTACATAAAAATGAATTAATTAAAGACCAACTAATCATAATTTGAATTAAAGTGCAGGAGAAACTAGATGTAGCCAATGCCAGCAAGGAGTTGAATACACAACAGGATCAACGAGCTGCAGCAGGAGGATCACTTAGTACACAAGCTTCCTCTGCAGCCTTGGCCACACCCTCAACCCAGGCAGATGAAGTGGGTGGGAGTTTCCTGGCCGCTGCATCAAGTACACACAAAAGCCTAAAGGCCAAACTAAGCAGCGCCACCGGAGGCAGCAAGGCTAAGGCCAGCAACAAGATCAAGGCCCAGACCAGCCGCATTGTATCAAGCTTTAAGGCGCCCACAGTAGTCAGTACTGTAGTTCGCGAATTCGGAGGCCACAAGGATGGTATATGGCAAGTGGCAGCTAAGGCGGGACAGCCAATCATTGGCACCGCATCCGCCGATCACACAGCCTGCATCTGGGGCGTGGAGAGCGCCAGGTGCCTGTTACAGTACCAAGGACACGCCGGCTCCGTAAATTCCATTAAGTTCCACCAGCATCGAGATCTTGTGCTTACTGGCAGCGGAGATGGTACAGCTCACATATGGCAGGCAGCCGTCAACTGGGAGGTGCCGAAGTGCGTTTCTTTGTCTTGGGATCTTAATTATTTCATTTAATAATAATCGATGTTTTTATGTTTTTCAGGAAGGGCCATTCTTCGGAGGAGGAACTAGACGACAGTGATGAACAAGTGGAGGATCGTGATCGCGTAGACACCTTGCGAACTCCATTATGTGAATTTACGGGCCCCGGCGGTCATCTTTCTGTGGTGGTGGCCGCCGACTGGCTATCTTCAATGGACCAGATCATCACGGGCAGCTGGGACCGAACAGCCATCCTATGGGATGTGGAGACGGGAACAACTTTACAGCCGCTCACAGGGCACGACCACGAGCTGACCCATGTGTCGGCACATCCCACCCAGCGTCTGGTTGTCACTGCCTCCAGAGACACCACGTTCCGTCTGTGGGATTTTCGAGAAGCGATTCCGGCGGTCTCGGTCTTCCAAGGACATACGGAAACGGTTACGTCCAGTGTGTTTGCACGGGATGACAAGGTGGTCTCCGGTTCAGATGATCGCACAATCAAGGTATGGGAGCTGCGCAACATGCGATCCGCTTTGGCTACCATCCGTACAGATTCTTCGGTCAATCGATTGGCGGTTTCCAGTGGTGGAATCATCGCCATACCGCATGATAACCGACAAATCAGACTGTTCGATTTGAACGGGCAACGAGTGGCCCGATTGCCTCGAACCAGTCGACAAGGCCATCGGCGTATGGTATCATCTGTAGCCTGGGCGGAAGAACCACTGCTCGACTGCGATCTTTTCTCGTGCGGCTTTGATCGCCGTGTATTCGGCTGGTCTATTGTCCTACCGAAAGACAATTGAAGGCGGCTGAAACGGAGAGCTGCTCCAAAGGAATGAGGAGGTACAGGCCTGCGAAATCGAAAACACATCTCGAACAAAGCATCCCAAAGCGATGCTCATACTTATATGTAGCCGTTTATCATAGATCAAGTATTAGTGCAGACATTGTTCAAGATGTTCTCCTATTTAGGTGTCACCCTCTAAATGTAATTATCGTTGCTTTTTGCCAAATAGTCGCGGCATATAGTGCTGCACGTACTACATATTATCATTGTTATAGCATATACATATGCATTGGGGTTGGGATAGAGGGATCTCGGAGTATTGAGCTTCCTATGTCCAGTTCCAATTTTATCTGTGTTTTACTACCATAATACATATTATAGATGTCTAAGGCATTAACGGTTTAGCAAACATGAATAAACATAATCAAGCACCCGATTCATCGCTGGGTATATCCTAAATATTGTGTTTTAAATGATTTGCGAATTTCAGGGACTTTACCCATATGATTTGGTTTAGATGACCTATTACCTATGATATAAGGGAACAAATCTTGTTTTTCAATACCCATATGTAATTGGTTATATGCTTTATAAACATGTGGCATAACTTATTGATATCTAAGGCAAAGTAGTCGTTACGATTAATACAAATACATAGTCTATTGCTCGATTTGCTGCAATATCTTTGGAATAAAATGGCACCAGCGCTTAAAATTTAACGAACTTTAAAACCAGCAACCCGGCAAGGATTCCCACCTCCAAAATTATAATGAGGATCAGGATGATCTTGTTGTAGAGCACTTCCCTGCCCAATTTCCGGATAATAACCCTCGATTTGGACAGATCCTGATCGGCGTCTTCCAAGCGGCGGGTGGTGCGCAAAAGGGACTCCCGCTGCTCGCCTAGTTCACCCAGGACCTGATTGGAGATATATTATATTATTAATCCCATTTAATTGTTAATTTTTAGGGCACTTACTTCTGCTCCCATATTTTCCGTTTCGATGGCAATCTGGTTGGATCGCTGGATACTCTCTGTCGTTCGTTGCAGTACGTCATACGTGCTAGCTGTGAGTTGCTCCTGTCTGCGGTCACTATCGCTGCCACTGGGCAGCTGTCTATAACCCGCGTTGGACATAATTTTGGTCGAGTTTTCCAAATAAATTAAATGCGTTTCAGTGGGATTTCAAAACAAAACAAAGACAGTGTGTGACCGTGGTGACACATACGGGGAAATGCCCAAGCACTTATTTTTTGATTATAAGGCGTTATTTGCTATAAAACTGAATATTACCACCTGTTGGAATTTCGCTAGCTTTACAACACTTGTTTGAGTTTGAATTTAAAATCTTGAACAAATTTAAGGAAATATATTTTTAATGTATAAATTATAATGAAGCTAATTAAAGCCGTTTGTAAGGAAAAAATAAGCACTAATATTTTCATAATTGCTTTAAATAAATCGATTCCGATAATAAATTAAATATTCCCCAAATTGTTCCATAATTATTTTGCTCTATTGATAAATCATTAATTTTGACAAATAATATGTTATAAAAACCGATTAGCCAATTGACCATATATTTGCTCGACAGGAAAAAGTCGAGAGGCCCGTTACTCAGAAATAGAAACAATGTTTAAATTTATCACTACCATTTTAGGCAAAGATCGATCGACTCACCCTTTTCCAGTTGCTAGGGTCTTCGAAGGGGAACGATTTATACATATATTTATAGTACCTGACAAAACCAAAACAAACAACTGTCAATAATCAATTCGACTTATCTAGACCAGGGAATTACTCGGTTGAAGCGTTATTAATTTAAATTGATAATGGAGGAGGTAGCGGTGGCGGCTACGCAATGCGGACATTTGTACATATGTAACACTCGAGGATTTCGACTTTGGTATGGGTATTTGTCGATTTCTGATTTCTGATAACACCACCTGATCATACATAGTTGGCATGCCTGGTGGGTAAAGAGAGAAAAAGGAGAGTGAGAGAAAGATCGAGAGCGAATCTGATCTTATAGAGGGTGTGAGTTATTGAGAGTGAGAGATATATTCGAGAGTTGATTTGCGATTGTGAGGCTTCCCAAGTCCCAACAGCGAGTGCCAAATATTAAACGCAGACGATCGCTAGCGGTGAGCAGACGTGTGCTCCGCTCGATTCAGGTTCCGATTGAAAATAAAGATACTACGGATACTCTCGCTCAGCAACAAATAAGTTCTAAATTTATCGCTCGCACTCGCGGGGAATTCGAATCTGGTGTCTTTGGCATTAAAAGCGTTTTCGGAGCTGTGAAGGTAAGCGCAAAAACTCGAAAAACCCATGAACGGGTTCAAGGTGATCTTGGGTGCGAGAAAGGGTGTAAACTAGGGGTTATTCCCCAAAAAAATATAGTACACGTGACGCAGCACTAAGGAGTATCTGTAATTCATATTAATTTGAATGCAATTTGGCACGTGATGCTAGCTAATGACAACTACTAGTTAGAAAAGTGAGATGGGGTGGGGTGGCTTACCTGTCATGGGACCCATTGTGCAAACACCTGCCAGAAGTCGCAGCTAAAGTCAGAGCGGCAGTTACCTGGCTACCGTAGCGCTATCTCTTTCGTAAGCCCCCGAGTATCTCTCAGAGATATTCAGATACGCACCAACTTTCCCAGTATTGGTGTTAGTCAGACCCCTATAACACTCTCGGGAGTATCTGTGAGTCGTGCTCTCTCTCTCTCTTTACAAAAGTCGCGAGTTTTCGAGTTTTATGCAATCATCATATGGGGCTATCATGTGATCTTCGGGTTTCTGCTTGTTCTGCAGCTTTGCCTAGAAAAATCTTCCAATGAAACAATAAACAATAAAAGCTGAGCTCAAGTAGTTGCAAATAGGGCACAATAAATTCCATTCGATTATGATTTATGGATTGCTCTATAAATTTCCCATAGCACTTCCCATCGATCAATCAATTTTAGCTGATTAGCCACAGCCGCAGACCCAGTTTATGAATGGAAAATCTGATCGATTCTAGAAATCTAGCAATTTCACATCTGAAGTATCAAGTATTGGCTTTGCTGCACAAGTGCTTGTCTGGACAATAAGCTTTATAAACCCCCGCACTTAAGTTGCCGATCTCCAGTTACGTAACTCCGCATAGCTTATCGCTTATCAGGCGGCGAACATTGCACTTCAAAAGGTTAAATGCAGAATTTTATTAGCTTTGTTTTCTATTTTAGATCTTTTTTTTTAAGATCTAATGAAACACTATTGTTATGATACCTTATTACAGTTTCCCTGAACTTATAAAGTTTTTCTTAAGAGAATCTTCCGATTCCCGATTATCAATAAGACTTACATTTGTATCTGTCCTTGGAATTTTGTTAAAAAAAAAAACTGCATTAAAACATTTTCTAGCAAATTTAAAAGCTAGCTTCCGTTTTACAACTTTAGTTTATTTTTAGTTCTCGACCATGAGAGTTCGATGATAAGTCCAGTGCCATATGGACATAATGGTTTTTGTGACGCAATGAAAGTTGTAGTACTACTATCTTTATTCGACCAGAAGCAGTTGAAGAAAATGAACTGAATTGACAATTGGCGTTAATAAAAAGATGAGTGGTCTGTTTTTGTTTCTCGATCGTCTCCATTTGTGGATTCACATTGAATTTGTTTCGTTTATTTGTGCTATTGAATTCTTAATTACTCGCCGTGGAAAAATGGTGGTATTGTCATAAAATTGAGCACAAAAGTATAATAAAAACTAGAAGTTATATTCGTGTTCAAAATAACAACAAATAGCGGACGAGAGAGACAAAGTGGAGAACGATAAAGAGAGAAACAAATAAAACAGAGCAAAAATTTAACGAAACTTCGAAGTGTAGCGATATTAGCCTACGCACACATGGGCGTGCACTCCGCTCCCAAAAAATAGAAGGGGTTGTCAATGTCAATGGCTCGCTCGCTCTTTAGTCGCCTCTCCCCACCACAATCTACCCCACACATTCCCCTCAGCTCGATTAAATGTGATTAAGGCTCACCCACAACTAGCGTGTGTCAGCCAGGAGCAATTACAACACCAGCAATAACAGTTGCATTCAAAATACAGTAGAGCTTCATTAATTTTCTTGTTATAAGAAAAGTAAATTGGCTTGACGAGTTTTCTACTTACCAACATTTTAATAATAATAGAATAATAATGTACATATAATCTTTACAAAAATGTTGCATTCTGAAATCTTTATTATGAGGACCTGAGTGTTTAGTTAAAACTTTAAATTTGAATGTTTTTAAATGTTTTAGTAACCATACATTTGGTATTTGATGGTAAAATCAGCCATAAGGACCTTTCAATATCCCCTTCAGCGAACTTTAACTGTAAACCGCGATAGCCCACACGCACACACCTACACACACTCATGCACGCAAGGCTAGAGTCCACTCACGAAAGTGACCAGCAAAGCGAAGAGTAGAGAAGAGGAGAAGAGAGAAGAAAGAAGGCGCGGAGAAGCGAAGAGAGCGAACGGGAATGGCAACGTTTTGAAGTTGAACTGGTTTACAGTTAGCCGTTGGTTTTCTGCTGGGCTGCCTCAGTGTTTTTTTCGTGTTCGAGCTGTGCGTGTGGGCTGTGATATTGTTATATTGGGCAATTGCAATTGGAAACAATTGGAAAAGGCGTTTTGGTTGAATTTGTTGAAACGAAACTGCGCTCGTGGAATCATTAAACAGCATTTGAGCAGGCGAGTCAAAATTGAATTACCTGTTTTTCGAAAGCAATCAAGTTACGGGGGTGTTCTGTCGAGTGAAATAATAGGGAATGAATAAATATTTACTAATAACGCCCTTTTGTTTAATCTTATTTCTTTACTAAGAACTTTGTATGTCTTAAATGTTGTTTACATACATAAGCGATTCTAACAGCACTGAAAAACCCGAATAAGTCAAGTCTGATATCATGTTTATTGGGCTTATGCCCGAGCTATAGCAATATCCGCTTTAAAATGATAAACCCCTCAAAGTATAAAAATGTTGATTAAAATTTAATCAGCCTAAACATAAATTATAAATAAGCTTAAACGACCTTCAGCGAGTCAAATTAGTTGATAAAACTATGCCTTAAAAAAAATTTAGAATTGTTGGCGCTATATAATTTTCAGTTACAATGCGAAAAAGAATTAAATCCAATTTATGGCTGTCTAAATACACTACAACCTAGCATTGTATCTGTAACTAGTTAGAACTAGTAACAATAAATAAATCCCATGTGTTGTCTGACCTTGCCCATGGGAAGTCCCACAAATGTGCCAAATTTGGGTTCTAAAATTGCTCTAATTGCCCGTTTAATAGTTAATAATCCACAAAATGGCATAGTAAATTTAACAAGTAGCCTTAGCATTATATTAGACACTACACCGCCACCTTTAAGGATTTTCCCAACGCTTCTGTTTCGGCACACGCCAAATAGTAAATTAATTATGCAATAAAAATGTACAAAAACAATTGATCGTCAAACATTTGAGAATTAGCCTTAACGAGCTGAGAACGAGCCATGTTCATAATTAATAATAAGAGCAATTAAGGCTATGAATTTCACGACTCTGCTATTTTTAACGAACTGTCGAGAAACAGCTAACGTTTCTTGGGTATAAAAAGGCAGAGGAGAACAACAATAGTGGCAACCTACATAAAAGCTGCGCTGATAAAAATGAAAGCAAATATGCTGAAACTGCTAGAAAGATATGGCGACAAAGGGAAGCAACAGGCTATATGGAGCACCACGTATTCGAAGTGTAAAGTGGCGCCATTCCTCAGTGAACTCGATATGCAAAAGCTATGTGGTTTTTAAACTTATCCCGTTCCAATCCTACTTTAACTGGTCAAGTGATTGATGGACCTTAAAGATAAGTTTTTTGGTGGGTATCGATGACATCCCTATACCACTGGCTCCCGGGCAATTGTCCGCAGTTGCTATGTTAGTTATGTTTTAAAAACACTTTCTACTACACTGCGCGTGAATCATTTTTCTGGGTTTTTTTTTTACATTTTAAGTTATTTTCCTTATGGAAATAACAAACGCCTTATAATGTCTTAACAAAATAGCATTGCGATTAAATACCAAGTTTTCTTGAACTGTAACTTTTCACTTTACTAAAACTGTAAATAGTAATGGAAAAAGAAGAGATCACAAATACCATTTATAGATCTCGATCATCTAAGATATTTTTGGTGCAGTGTTCTTTTTTGTCTTTTTCAAAAACATATTCTTGATGTTTATGTATAAATGTGTCTACATATAACACATCATACGTTTTATATCTAATGCAAAAAGCAAAAGCTAATTCCCTTCTGTCGGGAGGGGTCGGGAATCGGAATTTGGGAATGGGATCCGGGGACCGGGAGAGCCATTAATGTTCGATAATGTGCGAGGCTGACGTCGCCGTGTCGTTGACTGCTTGGCCCGATGATGTCACAACAAACCTTGGTGTCGTCTGTGTGTACACTGGCGAAATGGCGAAATGCTCTCGAGTGCAGACATCACAAATGTGGACGACAGACTAATGCCCTGCCCCAGGACCTGCCCCACCACACCCCACTAACCCAACCCACATGCGACACAATTAAATCAAAAAAACAGTAATTACTTACATTATCTGAGTTCCACCGATTTTGGGAGAAGTCAACTGTATTTGCACATGGTCGGGCTATTCTTGATAATGTTACAATTATCAGTTAATTTGCTGAACCATAATTTATATGTGTATGTACTTCTGTAGATACCCGCATATGTTTCCTGGGTTTTGGGATTCTTTATTGACTTGTAAAAAGAGTCAAGAAAGAGAATGCATTTATGTCCGACATAGCGATAAGAACTGTTTTCTAGAGTCGTAAATAATATTGCAGCGGGTCTTGAGATAACTCAAGCAAATAAGTTAAGAATATGTACTTACCCTTCTAGATTACCTACTTTACAGAATGGCATTTTGGATACAGAGGACATTATAGGAAATAGAGTAATAGTCCAAAACAATGCCATTTAGTCTGCCTAGGCATCAAAAAACATTCGTCAAAACAAGATATCTTTATTACTGTTTATGTCTTGATCATAAATCGGTAAATTCAAGGAATTGGAAAAAGTGTTAGTATCATAATGTGATATCATACGGGTTTTCAAACGTTCTTCATAAGTTTTGGTATTGCTGGAAGTGGTCGCCTTAAATCACATCCAATGTTTATGAAAAGGTTATTGTTGAAAAACAAATAATAAAATTAGTCATTTTAGTATTATTTGTAGTTCCCATTCTTATTTGTATTTTTCTTTTATATAATGTTAAGACTTGTTAGAGAAGCCCTTGAAAAAAACACTTGGAGTCTGAAATACATTTGTACTTAACGAGCAGTTTGAAGTTACGTGATTTTGCAATTAAATTCATGTACGAGTATATAGAACGTGACAAGGTGTTGTAATTACAAATCCGATACTTATTTGGTATCCTAATATATTGACTCTCGTTTTTTATTTCCTTTCTTTACCGAAAGCCAAAACACATGGTGAGTTTCGGACAAGTCCGAGCGCCATATGGAGCTGAAAATAGAGTGATTGCCTTTCCACAACAGAGAAAAACAAATGAAAGACAAATAAATAAAAACATTTGCAAAGCAAGCCAGCAAAATTTTGTACATAAATATGTCGGGTTGAATAGGGGGCGAAGTGCACTCAGAGAAATATTTGTAAAGGTCTAGACAACCGCACAATAATTTGAAATTTTAGCAACGTAAAATAGGTTCTTTAATAAAGTATCGAGAATGCCAAAAAATAAATAAAAGCATCTTACATGAATTTATAAATATAATATAATTATAATACGATATGCCATCCCACTTGTTGACACTTTTTTCCCCCGATGTATCTCATTGCTTATCGTATACGATATTCTGGCCCAGACAAAACACTCACTGAGGGCGAAAACAAAGCGTTGTCGGTGCTGATTTTCCTTATTTTAATTGCACGTCTGCGGAATGCCGAAACTAACCCCTCTATCCCACAACCCCTCTTTCCACAGGGAACGTAAGCAGTCGCCAAGATGGGGGACATGTTCCGTAGTGAGGAGATGGCACTATGCCAGATGTTCATTCAGCCGGAGGCCGCGTACACCTCCGTATCTGAGCTGGGAGAAACCGGCTGTGTGCAGTTCCGCGACGTAAGTTCGGATTGTCTTAAGAAAATACCACAAACTAATCAAATGATTTATCATTTCTTGACCACCAGTTGAATGTGAACGTGAACGCGTTCCAACGGAAGTTCGTCACCGAGGTGCGTCGTTGCGATGAGCTAGAGCGTAAGATCCGCTACATCGAGACAGAGATCAAGAAAGACGGCATTGTCCTTCCCGACATCCAGGATGATATTCCACGTGCCCCCAATCCACGTGAGATCATCGATCTTGAGGCTCACCTAGAGAAGACCGAGTCGGAGATGATCGAGCTGGCCCAGAACGAGGTGAACATGAAGTCCAACTATTTGGAGCTCACCGAACTGCGCAAGGTTCTGGAGAACACGCAGGGTTTCTTCTCTGACCAGGAGGTCCTCAATCTGGATTCTTCCAACCGAGCTGGAGGAGACAATGAGGCCTCCGCCCAACATCGCGGCAGGCTTGGATTTGTTGCCGGTGTCATTAACCGCGAGCGCGTGTTTGCTTTCGAGCGCATGTTGTGGCGTATCTCCAGGGGCAATGTCTTCCTTAAGCGTTCCGATTTGGATGAACCTCTGAACGATCCAGCCACCGGTCACCCCATCTACAAGACCGTTTTCGTTGCCTTCTTCCAGGGCGAGCAACTGAAGAACCGCATCAAGAAGGTATGCACTGGCTTCCATGCCTCCCTGTATCCGTGCCCTAGCTCGCACAACGAGCGTGAGGAGATGGTACGCAACGTTCGCACTCGTTTGGAAGATCTGAAGTTGGTTCTTAGCCAGACAGAGGATCACCGCAGCCGTGTCTTGGCCACCGTGTCCAAGAATCTGCCCTCGTGGTCCATCATGGTCAAGAAGATGAAGGCCATCTACCACACTTTGAATCTGTTCAACATGGATGTAACCAAGAAGTGCCTGATTGGAGAGTGCTGGGTGCCCACCAAGGATTTGCCCGTTGTCCAGAAGGCTCTGTCCGATGGATCAGCTGCTGTGGGTAGCACCATCCCTTCGTTCTTGAACGTAATCGATACCAACGAACAGCCACCGACCTTCAACAGGACCAATAAGTTTACTCGTGGCTTCCAGAATCTGATTGATGCCTATGGTGTAGCTTCATACAGGGAGTGCAATCCCGCCCTGTACACTTGCATCACCTTCCCCTTCCTGTTCGCCGTGATGTTCGGGGATTTGGGTCACGGTCTGATCCTCGTTTTGTTCGGAGCTTGGATGGTTCTCTGCGAGCGCAAGTTAGCTCGCATCCGCAACGGTGGAGAGATCTGGAATATCTTTTTTGGAGGTCGTTATATCATCTTGCTCATGGGTCTATTTGCAATGTACACTGGCTTGGTCTACAACGATGTCTTCTCTAAGTCAATGAACCTGTTTGGATCTCGTTGGTTCCAAAACTACAATACATCAACGGTGTTGACTAACCCAAACCTGCAGTTGCCCCCCAACAGTTCCGCCGTCGGCGTCTATCCCTTCGGAATGGATCCAGTATGGCAATTGGCTGACAACAAGATTATCTTCCTTAACAGCTTCAAGATGAAGCTCTCAATCATCTTCGGTGTCCTGCACATGGTCTTCGGTGTGTGCATGTCGGTTGTTAACTTCACCCACTTCAAGCGTTACGCTTCCATTTTCCTGGAGTTCGTGCCACAGATCCTGTTCTTGTTGCTACTCTTCGGTTACATGGTGTTCATGATGTAAGCTTACCTTTGATTTACTTTTTCTATATTTTATCTAACGAATGTTTCCGTTATCAGGTTCTTCAAGTGGCTCCGCTACAACGCTAGGACTAGCTACCAGCCAGACACTCCCGGTTGCGCTCCATCTGTGTTGATCATGTTCATCAACATGATGCTGTTCAAGAACACTCCGCCACCAAAAGATTGCGAAGAGTTCATGTTCGAGTCCCAGCCACAGCTGCAGAAGATTTTCGTATTCATCGCCTTGTGCTGCATCCCGTGGATGCTGCTGGGCAAGCCGCTGTACATCAAGTTCACCCGCAAGAACAAGGCTCATGCCAACCACAATGGTCAGCTGACCGGCAACATTGAACTGGCCGAAGGCGAGACCCCACTGCCCACTGGCATCTCTGGAAACGAGGAGAATGCCGGAGGAGCTCATGGCCATGACGATGAGCCAATGAGCGAAATCTACATCCATCAAGCCATTCACACCATTGAATACGTGCTCAGTACCATCTCACACACGGCCTCCTATCTGCGTCTCTGGGCTCTGTCTCTTGCTCATGCCCGTAAATATTTTCAAATGTTGATTTTTTGATTTAGTTACCAATACTTTATGAATTGCAGAGCTCTCCGAGGTGTTGTGGCAAATGGTGTTGTCCCTGGGTCTGAAAATGTCCGGCGTGGGCGGTGCCATTGGTTTGTTTATCATCTTCGGCGCTTGGTGTCTGTTCACCCTGGCCATTCTGGTTCTCATGGAGGGTCTGTCCGCCTTCCTGCACACCCTGCGTCTCCACTGGGTCGAGTTTATGAGCAAGTTCTACGAGGGAATGGGATACGCTTTCCAGCCCTTCAGCTTCAAGGCTATACTCGATGGCGAGGAGGACGAGTAAATTCACCCAATGTGCTCAAACTGGAGAAAATGTATACAATTATCGGCTTTGTTTACCATCAGCCCGAACTATTGTTTGTTAAATGTTTTTGTTTTGTTTAATTTTTTTGGATATTGTCAGTATTGTGGTGCTCTTCCCACATTTTTTGTATCCTCCGTTTTGTATTTCATCTGTTGTCAAAGTATTTCTCATTGGAGTTGTACCTAGTATTCTCAAAAACCGTTTCAAAAGCAATAATTTGATATTCATTGTTATAAATAACTACTTACACAAATATTAATTGTAATAAATACACCGCAAAGAAGAGAACTGCAAAAATGTTTGCAATATATATCTATGAAAAGGGTAGACATAAGCCAAAATTCGAATTGTTTGAAAGTTTAGAAGTAGTTAACAGCTGGCTAAGGCTCATATACTTCTATAACTTTTATAACTTTTCTAAGAACTAAGAAGTTATCATCGTTATCAACATACATCCAATTTTTATAGCTATCTTTTGGGATGTCAAACAAAAATGTTTATTCTTCAGATAATTAAAAATCCGTACATATGTGTGTCTATACTTTTATTTAGATATTTACAGATATATGTATGTTATGAACTGGAAATCAATTTTTAATTATCTGACAATTGGTTTTTAATTCCAACTGGTTTAGCATTACAGCCAAGGCGAACCATTTATTGATAAGGAAAATGCTTGCGAAAGGGGAATCGGAATAGAGGTAACGGACATTCCATCATATTGATGGATGGTTCGAATGGGTTACCGAGTTCCCCAAATATTTATCCAAGACAGGCGACTCTGATAAGCCAGAAAGTTGCTCGTGGGTCAGCAATTACCTCAGAACCTTCCTTGTCCAAGTCAAGTGACCACACCGATCAGTTCGCCAACAGCGCTCTGAAAGTGCGGAGCCGACTCCGGAATTTTTTAACACGAGAAAGGAGCAATAGGATCAGTGAACATGTCCAAGTGGTGGAGCTGTGGCTCCAATCAGGAAAGCAATAGCATTTTCCGCAGTGAGGTTATGTCCTTGGTGCAGATGTATTTGCAGCCGGAGGCAGCCTATGATACGATTGCAGCTTTGGGAGAAGTAGGAGTGGTTCAGTTCCGTGACGTAAGTTATAGCTATGATAGGATATTTCAAATTTGCAGGACATTTTACCGATCAGCATTGATAGAGCTAACCAAAGAGTTTCATTTCATTTCATTTATATCCTGATATATATTATTTGTATCCTTATAACAGCTAAACGAGAAACAAAACGCCCAGCAGCGTAAATTCATTAGCGAGGTGAGACGCTGTGATGAATTGGAGCGCCGCATCCGGTACGTGACCTCTGAGTTGAACAAGGAGGGTCACAAGGTGATCGAACTAATGGACGACTTCCCACCGGCTCCGCAGCCACGTGAAATCATTGATTTGGAGTTGCATCTGGAGAAGACAGAGACCGAGATTATGGAGTTGGCTGCCAACCATATTAACCTGCAGACCAGCTATTTGGAGCTCAGCGAGATGATTCAAGTGCTGGAGCGCACTGATCAGTTCTTCTCGGACCAGGAATCGCACAACTTCGATCTGAACAAGAAGGGAACTCACCGCGATCCCGAGCAGTCCAATGGCCATTTGGGATTCGTGGCTGGAGTGATTAAGCAGGGAGAGGGAGTACGCCTTTGAGCGCATGCTGTGGCGCATTTCGCGTGGTAATGTCTTCGTTCGCAGATGCGATGTGGACGTGGCCCTAACAGACCCCAAGACAGGCAATGTGCTACACAAGAGTGTCTTTGTGGTCTTCTTCCAGGGCGATCAACTTCAGGCCAGGATTCGTAAGGTGTGCGCTGGCTTCCATGCCCACATGTACCCTTGTCCCAGTTCCCATTCCGAGCGGCAGGAGATGGTCAAGAACGTGAAGATCCGACTTGAGGATCTGCAGGCTATTATGAACCAGACGAGTGATCATAGGACCTGCGTCCTTCAGGCTGCCCTGAAGCAAATACCCACTTGGAATGCCATGGTCAAAAAAATGAAGGGCATCTACCATATTCTAAACCTGTTCAACGTGGATCTGGGAAGTAAGTGCCTGATTGGTGAGGGCTGGGTGCCCAAGAGAGAGCTAGAGCAAGTTGAAATCGCTTTGGCCGCTGGCTCAGCCAGTGTGGGCAGCACAGTGCCCTCGTTTATTAATGTGTTGGACACCAAAAAGGAACCACCGACTCATTTCCGTACCAACAAGTTTACCCGTGGATTCCAAAATTTGATTGATGCCTATGGAATCGCTGGCTATCGTGAGGTCAATCCGGCTCTGTACACCTGCATAACCTTCCCCTTTTTGTTTGCTGTTATGTTTGGAGATATGGGTCACGGAACAATTCTTTTCCTTCTTGGTTTTTGGATGGTAATCGACGAGAAGCGGTTGCTAAAAAAACGAGGTGGTGAGATCTGGACTATATTCTTCGCCGGACGATATATTATTATGCTGATGGGTCTGTTTGCCATGTACACTGGGTTCCACTACAACGACATATTCTCCAAATCGATCAATGTATTCGGCACCCGTTGGGTTAATGTGTACAATCGAACCACTGTGCTGACCAACCCCACCCTGACACTTAACCCTTCTGTGGCCACGCGTGGTGTTTATCCCATGGGTATCGATCCAGTTTGGCAGTCCGCTTCCAATAAGATCATATTCTTGAACACCTACAAGATGAAGCTTTCGATCATCTTCGGAGTACTGCACATGGTCTTTGGCGTGTGCATGTCGGTGGAGAATTTTGTTTTCTTCAAGAAATACGCCTACATTTTCCTACAGTTCGTGCCCCAGGTCCTTTTCCTGCTGCTCATGTTCGGCTACATGTGCTTCATGATGTTCTACAAGTGGGTCAAGTACAGTCCAACCAGCGATGTGGTGGCCGATAGCCCCGGGTGTGCGCCCTCCGTCTTGATCATGTTCATCGACATGGTGCTTTTCAAGACTGAGACGGCCTCGGCTGGCTGCGATGTTAACATGTTCCCCATTCAAAGAAACCTTGAAATGATCTTCCTAGTGGTGGCCATTCTATGCATTCCTTGGATCCTGCTCGGAAAGCCTCTGTACATTAAATACCATCGTCGTAACAAGGTAAGATTTTGGGAAAACATCTTTATTTTTTAATGACATATATTTGTTATCGGCCCATTAGCCAGCTGGTCCAGTGGTGGAGGTCGATGAGATCGTGGAGAAGATTGAGGTCACCACAGGCAAGGAGATCATAATAACGGAAGTAGCTGAGGCCCATGAGTCGGGCGGACACAGTGAGGAGGATGACGAGCCAATGAGCGAAATCTGGATCCATCAGGCCATTCACACAATCGAGTATATTCTCAGTACCATCTCTCACACGGCTTCATATCTTCGCCTCTGGGCCTTGTCTTTGGCTCATGCCCGTAAGAATCTCTTTGGCCCACAATCGATAAGCATTAATATCAATCTTTTTTTAGAGCTTTCGGAGGTTCTGTGGACCATGGTGCTGGATATGGGACTCCAGATTGACGGTTATGTAGGAGCTATTGGGGTGTTCTTAGCTTTCGCTGTTTGGGAGTTCTTCACCATCGCCATCATGGTGATGATGGAGGGTCTGTCCGCCTTCCTGCATACTTTGCGTCTGCATTGGGTGGAGTTCATGAGCAAATTTTACGTTGGAAACGGTTATCCGTTCACACCCTTCTGTTTCAGGGATATTTTGATCGTCGTCGAGGATGATTAAACACAAGTTAGTCCTTATTTAAAGAGTTTAATAAAAGAAGCATTACAAAATATTTTAAACAGCTTATATTATTAACACAAAAACGATTTCAATTCAAATAATATTTCATATTTTCTTTTTGAAACATTTGGGTATTACCTAAGAGTACATAAACTGAATGTTTATATTCGTCGTTCGTATTTAAGCTTGACTTTTTCAGAAAGGTAACCCAATACTTGACAGAAATTTCAAAATGTGTAGTTTTATACGATTTTTAACTGCTCAAATTGAATCTTCGATTTTAGATCTTCAAATGTTTCCCTGTTAAAAAGTAGTAAAAATATTAATTTTAGGCTAAAATTCTATTAAACATTATAGCTATACAGCTATATTATAGAAAGTACTTACATGGCATCTCTTTCAATGTTAGACAGAACACGGGTTTCATAGGCCAAGGACTTTTTGGTTTCTCTTAATAACTTTTGTTTGGTAATTAGCTCCTTGGCTTTCGAAGCCGTCATTTCACGTATTTCGACCACTTCCTTTTTCATCTTTTTAATGTGTTTCTGCAGTTCATGGAATGGCTATAAGAGTTAACATAAAATAATTAGTAATAAAAAAATAGTTTTAAATGCTTTCTAAAACGGTACATAAGCTGAGCCTGCTTAAGGATTGGGGGTTTACCATGGATGTGAATTCATCGAAGGAACTCTGCTGTCGCAGTTCCACTTTGGCCTCAAGAGCTTTCTTACAGTGCTCGTGGTAGGCCTCAGCCACAGAGCTTTTCGCCTTGATCAGCCTATTTAGATTCTTCATTATATTTTCGTTTTTGGATCTAACAACATCAATTCCTAGCACAGGATTTTGATCCTGTTTGACATTGTTAAGATAGATCAAATATGCGTACTTCTCGGCCATCAGTAATTCCATCTGCTTGTTCATATCAGCGATTCTAGCTGCTCGACGGGAATTTACAGCACGCTAGATATAAAATTAAAATGAGTTTAAGCTATATTTAATAGTTTGCTTAACATACCAATTCAGTCAGGGATCTCTCAATATAAACGGTCATTTCTTCGCCCCTTGCTTGTTTCACAATACTTTTAATAAATTCCTTTTTCTTATCTGTGTTAGATTCCATTGTTTGTCTACTTAAAGATCTTTAATTCGCTTTATTAAAATTAAATTATATTATCTGACAGTTGCTCCCCAAGCTCTGCAGGAATACATATCAAATAAAATGGCGCACAAATTAGTGTTGGATAATGACCAACACGTAGATTTCGATAGTGGCTAATTATCAATTTCTTATCGATATATAAAAAGCGCGATTTTTGAATTATAAAGCATTAAAATAACTGTTTAGAGCTAGTATCAGAATAATCCAAAGTGATTGATAAACAAATGTAACTAATTTCTTTGCATAACTGATTAAAAATATATTTCTTTTCTTGATAGATAAAGGTACAACTATAAACGTAATACAAATAATTACAAATTGCCCTATTAAACAGCTCACAAAATATTCTACGTTACATTTTTCTAAACAAAAAAAAATATAATATTATTATTTATAAAGTACTTGCTTATCGATAAAAATTTGCTAAATCGTTAAAATATTAGACGTGACAATTTAACAAAAAGATACAAAACTTTGCATGAACAAGTTCTAATAAACCGTGACCGTGAGCGAGGATGCCTAAGAATATGGCCTTTGAAGTCTAACCCCAACCTTAGTGGGTCACCTCATGGTTCATTGATAAACGCAGCATTCCAACCCACGGCCCACTTTCATGTTGGATTGGGTTACGTTGGCGGTGCATCGGAAAAAGGTCATCTCATCGCATTGAGGGCAGCGCTCAGCGGAAAATTCTTGCGCAGTGCAGCGAATTTGGATGGAAGTGCTCAAGTGGTGGAGTTTATTTAGAGGTGGTCGTTGCAGAACTCCGGTCAGTTGTGGAGCCATCAAGCAACGGGCAGGTCTCCTATCTTTACCTTTCTATTCGTAACTCTAATTCTGGGCTAAAATATGTGGTATTTGTCGTTGGTTCTACTGGGCCTAGTGGTTGTGAGCAGGGCGGATACCCTAGTCCAGCTCCATGTGAATCGTCCTTATAACGATGTGAATGAAAAGTTTGTGAGTTTCGCCGTCCGTCCGGAGGATCTATACGATGCCCTGGATGGTAAAAATCGCAAGGCTGTTACCAATTTAGCCAATCTCCTGGGTGATTCCCACATCAAATTCGTGGGTGATTTCTACTTCGCCACCAATGCACCAACTAGGCTGCGAAACCCCACCAAAATTATCTGGAAGGGGTTTAATCGTTGGACGCAGTGAGTGAAAGGTTTCTGCTCTACTTCTTTCACTGATTACCTCGTTTTTTTTTCAAAGAGCCGTAAACTGGACCATGATAATTCCGGTTCCTTATGCCCCAGATGAGTGGGACTCCATGCACACACTAAAGATCCTAAACACCTCTTATATGGTGGGCATCACAGATTGCATATGGCAATTGGGCACAGATTTTGGAACCTCAAGGGCCAAGGACTATGTCCAGGAACTCCGAACCCTGAAACTGATGACGGATACTTTTAAGCCATATGTGGATGACTGGCGATTGATGGGGGCGGACATTTCAGCAGGAAGTAGTGCAGATGAAACAAAGAAATATGTGGATATGTCCAAGGATTTGAATACAGCTTTTGGTTGGACACAGTAAGTAGTAAAATTTTCTATCGAATATATATAGGACACTTAAAACTTTTTAACCAACTTTTTTTTATTCCAGGCCAGCAAACATGCTACCCAAGTCCAGTTTGGGAAGCTACCTGTACGACAGCGATCCAGCCCTGCGTATTCTTCAGCAGCAACGTGTTCCCTTGTGGCTGACTTTGCCGGAGGAGCGATCCTCGCAGAGATTGGTTGGCGATGAGACTACAGATGCCTTGCGGTGGGCCCAAACTATGGGAGATGCGGCCACTAGTGGATTTGATACGATCTTCAAGCGCATGTCCTTGTTGGACTTTGAGCAACCCAACTTCAGTTTGTATGTTACTGCTCTGTTCAAGAAGGTCATGGGATCGAGGGTGTTCCCAGCACGACCTCTGAATGTCTATGCTCCGAGCAACAAGCTGTATACTCACTGTGCGAACGCCGTTTCTGGAGGATTGGCCTTTATGGTAGTCAACACCGAAGAGCAACCCACAACGATTACGGTGAAGAGCGCCAATCACTTGAGCAGCAGTGAGATCTGGCAGTATGTACTAACTGGTCTGGATCAAAGGGTCCAGCTGAATAATGTCCGTTTGCACCTGAATGCCACTTTGCGTCCTCTTATCAAACCCATTGATCCTACTAAGCCACTACAACTGATCACGCCCAGCATGTCAGTGAGTTTTTGGGTCCTTCCCGATGTCAATCTGGAACATTGTCAATTCACGGAGATGGAGGCGGGTGATTCAAGTGGGGAATCTTCAAAGGAGAAACGCAAATCATCTAGATATAGTTCCGCCGATCGGTTACTCCAGCGGTTGATCGAGGAAACTGCGGTAGCCAGGGGATCGGTACAGAGTTCCATAAATCGTAATCGACGATTTGTCATTGATAAGGAGGAAACTCCAGAAACCCTTCTCGATCGCCTGCTGCAGCATTTCAAGGATGACACTCCAGCGAAACGAAAGTCGGGCGAAGAAAAGGACAAGTCCAAATCACATTCTGTGAAACCTCATAAAGCTTTGGCCTGGTTGTATCAGGTCCTCGAGCAAACCCGTGACATGGGCAAAAATCGATCCAGACGCAGTACTTCCGGCTATTCGGGACCCTTTTTCTACAATCGTCAGGGTAAGAAAACTGCACTGACCAAGAAGATTACGGAGATCCGTAAACCTGAAAGGAAAAACAAGCCACTTTTCGACTTTGACGAATTTGATGAAGAGAAGTTCTTCAAGCGCATCGGAGAGAAATCAGAGGAGACTCCAACCTATACACGTCTTCCGGAAGGTGATGTCCATTTGAAGCATATAGAGAGTGTAGATGGCGAAGAGAATGAACAGGAAGCTGAGCCAGAAGTCCCTAAGAGGCGTAGAACCAAGACTAAAAACCAATTGAAGATCATTCCAAGGTCTGTGGAAAAGGACGATGCACAGGAGCAGGAACCAGATCAAACCGAAGGTCGTGGCAAATTGCGACTTCTGCCCACAGAATTCTTTGAGGCTCTTCCGGCTCCTAAGCAGAACAAGCGATTGAACCTGGGTGCCACTTTGAACTCCCTGCTCTTTCCAGAACCCTTCTCCAGCAAGGCCACCATGGCCAAAGTTGCTGCAATCAAACCAAAACCTGCTGAAGAGCCCGAAGAGGATGTGGAACCTGTACCAAGTGCCAGAAGACGTCATTCCAGGATAGGCCATGTAGCCAATGATTTTTTGCAGGCCCAACAAGAGCTGGGAAAGCATTTCCTTAGTCATATCAACGAGCATGAACATGAGTTTTCCCTAGGAGATGAGGGCATGCGTGAGGGTTCACTGGAGACAGAAAATTCTGGAAAGAAACCTCTCACACAGGACCTTTTTGGAACGAAGAAACCAACGCCAGCTCTGCATCAGAAACTTCCTCAGAAACTGGATGAAGGAATTACCTCTTGGTGGGATCTTCCAGCAATGCGAAGGCGTCGTGCCCTACAAAACTCCATCGATGAGCTCCCCTCCAACTCCATCGACAAGGGAGATCGCGACGAGATGATGCCCCTGGGAAGGTATACCTTCTACGAGTACAAGGTGGAGCAGGATGCAGAGAAGGATGTCAGCCAACCCAAAGAGGAGAAGGAATCTAAAATAATGAAGATCAGCAGCAAGTCACAGAATTCTAGTAAGGATCGTAGTCTGACATCCCTTTCGGAAAGTCTCGTTAGCACTGTAAAATCGAAGGTCTCTCGTTTTTTAACATCATCTCCAACCACATGAACGAGTGGTACAACACCTTAACCAAGCACTTGGAAACGGATATGGAAACCCAAAGACCCCGCAGACAAAACAACATCGAAAAGTAAAAATATTTAGCTCATGGCAATCAACTAAATTGTGTATTAAGCATTAAAACCTAATGTAAATATGTATTTATGTATAATAGAATTATTAATGCAGTTGATGGTATATTATTTGAGTGATAACTCTAAGGGAATTATCTCTTTGAAATAAAAACACAGGACTTAGACAACGAACTAGATGGGCTTAGACTAAGCTTTTGCTAGATTGTTGAGCTTTCTCAATTGTACCTATTCTATGTCAGATATATTAAATAAAATGAAATATAAAATAATTTTACTGGCATTTTATTACTTTATATATAACATTTTTGATAAATAATATAGCTGATTCCCATGGAATTCTACTTTTTAGGCCATTAAAAATAAATCTTAAGAAGCTGGCCCTGCAAAGTTTTTTATGAGCTAAATAATTGTGCATTTCTTTTAATTTCTTGTTTAGTAATAAAATTTTGGCTATTATAAACATTAAGTACCAGCCATTATTGCCTACTTAATTTCAAGCTCATTATTTTAGCCACATTAAGACTGTGAAGCTTTAAGAAGCTCCCAACAGGTGGCTTTTCTAAACCCACTTTCTTGAATACCCACTCCCAAGATCTTTCTCTTATTGTTGGCAACTTGTTTTTCTCCCTCTTTGTTTCGCTCTTTTTTTCCGAGTGACCCAACTAGGTGAAGACGGGCGCAAAGAGGAGCTAAGAAAGCGGCTAACCTGTTACCATGGCTATAACTGAAATAACAAAAATCACCGCGACTATGGCAATACCAAGCCAAGTGGAGACGATCGCGCATTCTCCGCAGCCTCGGCTTTATAATCGGAATTCGGATTTCAGTCTCCGAGCAGTCGTTCAAGGCGAAGGTTGTGGCACAAGCTTTTTGGATCTACCAATTCCGATTCGTCCCGCAAATAATAGTCCAAAGTGCAGGCCAGCAGCAGTTGCCATAAGTTATAGATCAACTAAAACCCAAAACAGGTGAGTTCGCACTTTAAAAACTAGTCTGTAGCTCTGGCTAAAATCATCGAAAACGGGTCAGTTCTAGACTTCTTTTATGTAGTTGTTCTTTTTCGAGACTGCATTTCGGGGCGGGGTTGTACGGGGCACATCATCGGGGGGTTCTTAAGCGGTGCATGCAAGCGTAACCAGAGCCAGTCTTGGAGTCTTGAGGAAAACACTCGGAAATCTTTGTGACGTGGACAGCGAAAAAAAACAGACAGAAAAGAAAAAACCAGAAACTCAAAACTACATGAAACTTCAGACTTTCTTTCTTTTTCAACCTTCTTTCTTTTCGGCTGCCAATGAACTTTGTTGTCTCTGTTTTTTCCTCGGCGTTTCATCATAATAAGCCATAATTACGCACATGTATCCGAAAGTGAAAGTGTTAGTTTTCACAACAGTCTCGAAAATCGATTTTTGACAGACTCTGATAAACGATTTGTGAATTATGAAAACCTTCGCCGACTGACCGATAACCCAAAAAGCCGAAACCCCAAAAACCAAAACCCAAACTTGTTTCGTTATGCCCTAAGACAATCGTCTGGCCTTCGCTGGCTTTAGATATTATATAATCTGATTTGCATGTTGACACGGATATATATACAATATAGATATGTAGTATACACACCTCGGAATATTTTTGTAGGATGGGTTTCATCTTTGGTTGGCTGCCAACCGAGCACTATGTGCGCGACATCTTCCTCATGACTTCATTGGCCGCCATTGTGGCCACCCTGATGAGCATTCGGTTCTATCTGCGCATCACGGCGGGACGATGTTTCACCGAGGTAACAAATGAACCTCCCTCAATCGCCAAAAAAAACCAAATCCCAGTAACCATGATATCCAAAAATCAAGTTCAATAGTTTCCTAGCGCCCAGAAATCGCTACATGACTCGAATAATTTTCTTTTTTTATGGGTACTCTATTCACTTCCACTGCGAATTCTTCACAGTCTTATAATTAGGTTCGCATATACATATTAATTATATTGCTCTCTAAAAGACAATAGAATTCATTCATGTTTGAGGTATTTATTTACGATAACTTACTAAGCCAAGTTTTTACATAGAACCACAGTTTAATGAAATGACAAATTAAGTATAAGGCACGTTAACTAATCTCAGAAAGTTAACAGCATTTACTCTTCATAATAATAGAAATATTGTAAGTAGTTATACATATCTAATTTTGATTATAATGAGATTTAAGATCTTTAATTGAAATGACTTCAGCCTAACCTTAGGAATATTTCATAATATCTGGAAAAACACCATAAAAAATAGTATATACTGTTCCGGCATTCCGACGATAAAAATCTAATTAATATGAATTCGCTGCTCAAAAGACTAAGCACAATCTCGTTACTATATTGGCCAGTTATGACGCGTCGACTTAATTACAGATTTAATTAGATACTTTCTGAGAGATGCGGTACGTCACATCTGTGAGATACGGTTACCACCTGACCGTACATTGTCTAGATCCCACAAAACATCTAAGCTTTAGTATCTCGGTTACAATCTGGGCGATCGCTTACCTATGATTCAGAGAAAGCTCTCAGCTCGGACGGCAATTAAGAGACCCGTTAATGGGTATGGAAACTAAGATACCTTCCGTTCCAGACGAACTGTGCTATTACGGTGACTGTGACCAAGTGCCTACTAATTACTATTGTAAACTTAGTTCCAAACACCCAAGACCTTGTAATTTACGATTGCGTTTTACTATTATCTGATTAACCTATGACATTGATTACAGACAAAGATGGAGGGCAAGACAGTTATCATTACCGGCGCCAACAGCGGAATTGGCAAGGAGACGGCTAAAGGATTTGGCTGGACGTGGAGCCCGCATTATCATGGCTTGCAGGAATTTGGAGACCGCCAATGCAGTGAAGGGTAAGTGGGGTGAAATATGCAAAAAAAAAATATATTTTTCGATATAAATATGATTAGAATTTAAAGCTAATAGTTATTTTTCCAATAAACAGATGAAATCATCAAGGAAACGAACAACAGCAAGGTCCTGGTTAAGAAACTGGATTTGGGTTCCCAGAAGTCCGTCCGGGAGTTCGCTGCTGATATTGTTAAGACCGAACCCAAGATTGATGTACTGATCCACAATGCCGGTATGGCTTTGGCCTTCCGAGGACAGACGAGTGAGGATGGCGTAGAGTTGACCATGGCAACCAACCATTACGGTCCCTTCCTGCTGACTCACCTGCTCATTGATGTGCTGAAGAAGAGTGCTCCGGCTCGTATTGTGATCGTGGCCTCGGAGTTGTATCGTCTGTCTTCAGTTAACTTGGCTAAGTTGAATCCGATTGGAACTTTCCCGGCTGCCTACTTGTACTACGTGTCCAAGTTCGCCAACATTTACTTCGCCCGAGAGCTAGCCAAGAGGCTGGAGGGCACCAGGGTGACTGTGAACTTCCTGCATCCGGGAATGATCGATTCTGGCATCTGGCGCAATGTCCCCTTTCCCTCTTAACCTGCCCATGATGGCCATTACTAAGGGATTCTTCAAGACCACCAAGGCTGGAGCCCAGACTACCATCTATTTGGCAACATCCGATGAGGTAGCGAACGTCTCTGGCAAATATTTCATGGACTGCAAGGAGGCTACCCTTAATGCCGCTGCCCTCGACGAGGAGAAGGGTCTTAAGATCTGGGAGGAGTCACTTAAGATCGTCAAGCTTACACCCCAGGAACCGAAGATCTAAGATAGTAATCGAGGGCTAAGAGGTAGTGCACAGCGCCTAAGCGCATTTAACTGATTTGCTTTTCTTGTTATAAAGGGGGAGTTTAATGTAGTGTAAGTTTTTCATCTCAATAAATACAATTTTGTAAAATTAATTCTAAAAGATATTTCTGTTATTTCCTGTTTAATTTGAAGGTCACTAGTTGTCTTCTTTGTGAAGAAGACTCGACTTTAACATTTGATAACTCTGAAACATTACAGAATCTGTAAGCTATAGCAGCCGGTACTCTATTACAAACTCAGTGGTAGTCAGAACTTGCAAATTTAAATTGATAAATCCAGAATAATTGTTTAAAATTCATCAGATAGCTATCCTGGACACAGCGTTTCAATTTTGGTTCATGAGAATTGCGGAGAACGACAAATCACAGCGCCGCCAATCGGGTGAAGTAACCCGATATACATGGAGAAGGCAGCCAGGGCGGGAGGAAAGCCAAAAAATTCTCACACAAAATTTCGCCGGTTTCACTCACCTGTTGATGAGGACCGAAGGGGAGGATAGCAGGGAGGACACCCAAGGGATTCCAACGACATGTATAATCTGATAAAATTGCAGACGCATCCTTTTTGCTGGTTGTCATCACTTTTGTATCTGCGGCAAAAGGAGGGTTGCGGTAGATTATTATCAGCTACTCGACGGGCACGTGACCTGCTCAACGATGATGATAGTGCCGATCTTTAGCTAATAATATGTTAAATGGCGTAATTGAAATTTAATATTTATCCAAAGGATTACAGGATAATCATTTGCGGTTCGCCAAAAGGCTATTAACGCTAAAGGAGCGTGTGGCAACGCAGATAATTGAGGTACCAAACGCCCCTTAATTCGCTACTGTGAGAAACTTGTACACCATGAATTAGATTTTCTCACAGCATTTGTTTGCGGAAGTGATTCCCTAATAAAAAACAAACAAGAACCGCGTTTTTATTGCTACATTGGTTTGTTTCTGTTCTTCGTGATAGGAAATGCATTGATAAGGCCATCCAGTAATGAACCCTTCTGGTACTGACTCTACTTTGTTTTTTTGTTTTTCAAAAAGTATCGCCTTACAAATTCAATTTGGCGCGCTTCACTCAAGTGTACTAACAGCCAAACAGGACGAAAAGACATGGTTGTGGCCAAGTTCAGATGTAATTCAAGTAGTTGTCTCCTTTTCTTGGGGGAGTCCTTTGACAGTAAAAATATATACCTCTCTTTGAGGGTTTGTAATAAGTCGCGCGCATTTAATAAGCTGGCTTAGGTTTTTAATAAGAAGTGGGTTATGCGGCAGTCCCGATCCCGGCTCGTCCAGCTGTCAGGACAGCGGTTCGTCCTTCTCCATCCTGTCCAGCAAAATGTCAACTGGCAACGGCTGCTCCTGTCACGCGGTCATCGATACTCTTCTCCTTTGGGCGAGGGCGTGGGCTGACGGCCCAATTGTACTCACAGATGTCCCAAAAACTCCAGTTCAAGAATATTACAATTCTCACTAAGTTATGGGATATCATAGAAACCATATATACGTCGGCAGTTGTCGATCTATTGAGAGGAAATTTTATAAACAAACTAAGTGACTTTGTTCGTAGAACACTAAGCTTGAGCCATTCTAAATGTTATTAATATCATCTCAGGATATAGTCATCCAATTTTAGTAAACGTCTGACTGTTAATAAGTTTTAAGCTATATTCATTTTGAAATATTATTTTTTTATTTCAATATTAATTAAAGAAATCGTTTATGGCAACAATAACAAGTCCTTTAAATTCTTGTAAAAAATATATTTATGTTCATTTTATTTCATTTTCCATTTATAAAGTCAAATGATGAAGCTACAATATAGTTTGCAAAAATTTTTCGAAGTGCATTTATTTATAAAATTACTTTAGGTTTAATTTAGCAACCTGGACCTTCTAGGAATATGTTTTTCTTCTTCAGATAAAATGATCCAAAGTCCGGCAATATAATACAAAATCATCAAAGATTTGCGAAACAAATTACCATCATTTAATAACCATCTCATACTCTCTTAACTTCCCCTTTTTGACCCAAGCTGGTTTAGCTGATTTTAGCCGGCACGGCATCTAATATGACCGAATGGCATTAACATGTTGAATGACTTGAGTGGCAGCATAAAAAAGCAAAGCGCAGCCAAAACCAGGAGAAGCCCCACCAGTGCCGCCCGAAAAGTATTTCATTGATTTTTGAAGCCTCGCCAATACACAACGGAATACAGAGCTGCGAAGGCAAAAGAAATGAAACGAAGCGAACACAGAAATGTGCTCGTACACATACCATATAATATCCGAATGAAAATGAGTGAAATTTGCGTTGCTGTTGGCAACACGGGAATCGCAAGGGGTGGGTAGTTGTAGTAGAGTCATCAGGATCATGTCCTCCCATTGTTTGTCATTTTAAATACACAAAACAAACAGAAGCTACCAATAAGCCACAGAGCAAACATTTCCACGTGCTGATGATAAGGTGGTTGATAGACTGGTGTGATAACAGGTCTTTTTAGTGAGAGGATTTTATAGAATTATTTACCCTTCGGCTTAAATTGTAGCAAATTCACAGATTCATTAGCTTTTGCGGTCACTCCAGAGAAGGGAAGCTGTTGCTATTCGGGCAGTTTGATCAGCTGACACCTGAATACACCTGAGGGATGTGAGGCTATAATTGTTATTGATACCACCGGATTGACTTGGCTACCAGCTACTACCTCAAGGAACGGATCCTAATCCCTTCTGACAATCGGCAGCAGAGACAGGCTCATGTCCTTAGCCAAGTTGTTGACATGAAACTGAAACCAAAACCGAAAAGAAAAAAAACTCGTTCAGATCTGATCAGACTGTGGATCTGATTTTAACACACACGACGTTGGCTGGGTTTTGACCTGAAATTCCCATCGATAAGGTAAGATGATATGGGGGATATATAGCTCGATCACTGCAAGCCTTTGCACTCAACTGATTTTACCAATTGGTGAATTCGTTTTCGGGCGTGTGAACCTTTTTGATTTGCTGGTGAACGATCTGAATTGGGGGGTGAACGGATGGTGTATATATCTTCTAATATATATAAATATAACTCTGATAGACAAACATATTTCACAATTTCCCTTAGCTTTTCCATCTGGCTTGTGATTTATTCCCTGCTTTTTCTGCTTCAACCACAAATCGAACTATCAAATAACATTCGAACTATTCACAATTGTTGGCACAGCGACAAGAGCATCGATCGATAGACATTCGTCATTGGCCAGGCTACAACTGAGAATTAGCATCAAAGACACAAAGATACACGCAACAGAAGCAGATACACACGGCCAGATACAAAGATACAAGTTACAGAAGCATTCAAGGGGGTTGCCGACTTGGCCCGATGGACTGCCTCACTTAACCACAAAACAATGGAGCGAAGGAAGCAGAATGCCGACGAAGACGATCAATGGTTGCAAGTCCATATCAACTACCCCTTAAGCCCCCTCGCAGAACCCATGTACTGAGAGAAAAATAATCATAAAATATTAAATCTTGTGGAAATTTTGGAAATTCATATAAAGTAAAAGAAACAACGTTGTACAAAAAACCATAGCCTACTTTTTGGCCTTTTAAAATATAAGTTGCATAAACAATGTCCTTCGTTTTAAAGTGATTTTACCATTATGCAAATGAAAATCCATATTTCTAGATTTGTCATATAATGATAATACTTAATATCAATAATTTAGTAATATTTTCTGTAGGTGTACCTTTTCTTCTCCCTGTCTCGTTGGTATCTGGTGTCGAGCTGTAAAGATATTGGGTGACAAATAAAAACTACTGAAAACTGCTGCCGCTGTTGCTGTTTGTTGGTTGTCGATGTTGCCGGCCACGTATGAATGGGCCTGAAACTCGGACTGGGCGGGATCGGCAAAGAAAGGAAAGGGGGTTTTCGATATGTAGATGGTATGAGCGGAGGGGTAGTAGCCGCAAAAGCCGGTAGACGGAGCGCATTGGTTGGCCGACAACGATGACGGCAACGTTGTTGTGGTGGTGGATGGATGGATCTGGAATGGGTATGCCATGGGATATAATATGGTATGGTATGGGAAGGGATGAGCATGGGATGAAGAAAGAGGGGGTGCTTTGCAAGCAAGGGTCTCAAATGTGTAGTGCTGGGTACTAGTACTTGTGTCATTATATCTCACCAAAAGTGTGAGTGCGAGCGAGATTGTTGTTGCCACATTGCTGCCGTTGTCTTTTGCGCCCTTTTGTCGCTTGTTTATAATTAAGTGAGTATTTTTTTTTTTTTTGTTGCGCCCTGCTTCTTCCTCTGTGGTTGTCGCTTTGCTGCCGCTCTGCCGATATGTCAGTCGATATTGGGCCGAACTGCCTCGAACTGAAACTGACAATTAGTCGCCGTCTTATGCTCCTCGCCAAAAGTCGCTTCTTGCCCCGCACTTAGCTCGAAAACTCAAAACTTGCACAACGGCTCCACATCTAAATATATATAAAATATCTAATCGGAGAATAACGATCGTGTGATATTACTGCCGCATCAAGAACCATAAATATTACTTTTCTAAAGAAAAGCAAAAATTGTGAAAACAATTTTAAGTTTCCTGTTAAATTGGTGATCTTCAAATAATGAAAATTGTGAATCTTTTAAGAAGGTGCGAAATTTAGTTTGTGAATGTCAAAAAAAAATATAACTAACAAATAAAAATTAAAAATTTATTAAAGGAATCAGAACATAAAATAGACTTAAACAATCAAATTTAAAGATGATAACCAGATAATCCAATTAAAAGACTTATAATAATATATTTGTAGTTGCTCCGCAGAAAGAGGGATCTTGAATGTTTGAGTAATTGCCTTAAAATATTTATAAAAAACAAGGAGTACTTTTAAATCTTAAACTGATGTAGATTGATTCGGTTTTAAAAACGCTTTTTTTAAATATAACATAAAAACTATCTGCCTTTGTTTAATGATTTCAAGAAATTTTTAATGAATTTCGATGAGTATTAAGAATATTCAAAATTTCAATTTGAATTCAGAGGAACTTTTAACTTTTTAAAAATAACTAATAAATTATGCTTAAAATGTAGTTGGAATGTGTTGAGCAGTATTAAAACTCTCGAAAAAGGATATCTGAATTTGAATTTAACGTAATTGGTCAGAGTTCCAGTTCCTTCAGAATATTTATTGGATTGAAAATTAAATACAAATTTTTAGTTTTCATACAAAAAATTAAAATGTAGTAGTAATACCACATATTTTAAATCACCTGAGTTCGAAATACTTTCAGAGTTTGTTCTTCTGTTTATTTCTTTAACAGTCCAATTTGTTCTAAGTTAACCTAACTGAACTGAACATAAAGTACAACAACGTTAAGCCTTTATTTATATATGATTATTTGTGAATTTACTCATATTTTTAAAGTGTAAAGGGACACATATTTAAAACTTGCAATGAATCAAAGTGTATTCGCCATTAATGTACTATCCTCGCCCTGCAGTTGGAAATTAACGCATCAAGATGAAACGTAGAAAAAGCAGAAACAAAGCATCAACTGCTGAACCCAAACGTTCCAGAACTGGAGTCATGTCATGGGATTGTTATATAAGGGTTCCAAACTCCTGAACATAACTCTGGGTGAGTAGTCATACATATATGGAGAACCACATTAGCCATACCAGATACGCAGATACACAGATACAAAAACGCGAGTTGAGAGAGCAAAGCAAATGGCGGTCTCTCGTTTTGGGTGTGTATGTATGTGTTTCGAGGGGCGGAGCTAGTGGCACAGTGGTTGTTACGGAACCAAAAATGTATCTATGGGATACTTGATGCTTTTGGGCATCTCTACCAAACTTCCAGTGGTTAAAACAAGGTTTTTATTTTTCTATTTTGGCTGCGCAGATTCCCTGGAAGATCAAGAGGGTGGAGCTATGTACATATCGTGCGATGTCTCAAACGGCGGTCCTGTGGAACCAGAGACGGGCTATGTGCCCAACAATCCCCTGTTCGGCTTGGCGCTGGACAGCCCGCAGGTGAGTCCTGGAATCCAATTTTGATTTGGTTTCAATCTCTCCGGAAATCTCTTCGCGTTCGGTAGTGCTTGCAGTTTGTTTGAGAAAAAGCATCACTCAAATCGGTACTTTTCCATTTAAAATTAGCCCAAATCTGTGATGTTAACTTAAACTTGAAACTCAGGATATCAAATTAATTTTTAAAATGAAATCTTGTGAAAGGATTTTACTATTTTACTATTTTACTTTTCTTTTATATACATGGGATTACCCGATACTGTATATATACTTTCTGATTTTAATTAATTGACAGCATTTCTTGACATCTTATCATGATCTTAAACTTATCTTGTACATGTTAATAAAAATATTTAAATGTGTCTATATTAAAAATTGGACGACGTAAAGATATTTGAAGTTGCATATATCTCAACCGGTTTTCCCTGTCTTCATTTTGGTTTTCGTTTATGCAGCAAGAGTGTGCCGCTTCCTGCGTTGGCTGTTTATCCTGCCAAGGCAGCACCGCCTTACCTATCTCCTCGCTTACCAGTAGCGACTTCGACTGCGGCGGTTGTTTCGATACCACGATTGGAGTGGGCGTGGGCATCGGTAGCAGTCACATCCAAATCAGCACCACACCGCCGGCGAGCAGCGGCAACGGAAGCAGCAACAACGGCACCGGAGGAGGCTCCTCTGCGAATCACGGCTACTGGAGCACCGACGAGATGGCCTCCACATTCCCCGGCCTACCACCGCTGGACATTGATCCGCTGCCCAGTCTTATTTCCCTTCTCGCCTTGTGGTGCCTCCTACAACTTTGCCGCCGGAAATCCGCACCAAGCCTCGCTCTCCTACACTGTGCATCCCCACCAGATGCTCATCTCGCCCAATTCCCACAATCATGGCCAGATGCACTCCCAGCACCAACAACACCAGCAGCAATCCCAAAGTCAGGCATCGCACGTTGGCAACTCGCTCCTCCAAAGCAGTGGTGCCAATAATATGGGCACTAATGGTGTCTCAACTGGAGCAGGTAACTCCGCTGCCTGTTATTATGAAACAGCTGGGACCGCTCCACCACCTCCTCCCCCGACGACTGCCATGTATCCCAGCATGAGTGTGAACGTAAGCATGAACATGACCATGCACCACGGCTACGGGGCCGGAGATGCCAGTGGAGTCCCGATGCAGTGCTCTCAGATGAACTGGACTCCGCCTAGCAACTCTTCCTCGGCGGCAGCAGCAGCGGCAGCGGTAAATGTGCTGTATCCACCGCTTCTGAGTCCAGGTCACTATCCCGCCTCGGCAACGTACTCCTTTACGGCAGACTTCCGCGCACCGGCCCCCGCGGGATTGGGCTCCTTGCCCTCGCTGACAGTCGGGGAAAAGGAGTCTCCATCGCCACCTACCAACACTGCTTTGGGTAGCTATTATCCTACGGCGGTAACCAATCAGGGGTACACACCGCCCCATAAAAGTCCCACTAGTTACCAGGCAGCCGCCCTCGGATTAAGCCTTTCCGCTTTCGAGGATGAGGAGGACAGCAACGAGGATTTGGATGGGGACGAGGGCAGCAGTGGCGGTGAAATGAAACCCAATCTGTGCCGACTGTGTGGTAAGACATATGCCCGACCCAGTACGCTGAAAACCCATCTACGGACCCATTCCGGCGAAAGACCATATCGATGCCCCGACTGCAACAAGAGCTTCTCACAGGCCGCCAATCTGACGGCCCATGTACGCACACACACCGGCCAGAAGCCGTTCCGCTGCCCCATCTGCGACCGGAGATTCTCGCAGAGCTCCAGCGTCACCACGCACATGCGCACCCACTCTGGCGAACGGCCGTACCGCTGCTCCTCCTGCAAGAAATCCTTCTCGGACAGCAGCACCCTCACCAAGCACCTGCGCATCCATAGCGGCGAGAAGCCCTACCAGTGCAAGCTCTGCCTGCTCAGGTGAGTCCAGTTTCCATGCCACACCCCACAAAAATTGCCAAAAATTGTTTTTGTGCTTTTTAAAAATCAATTACAGTTCTTGAAGCTTTCCTATAAACTATATATTAAAATTAAAAGATTAATTTGATGTTTAAAATATTAAAAGTTTACAATAAGGGTTTCTTTCATTTAAAAGAAAATCAAAGAAATAAGCTTATAAGTGGATGAAGATTAAATTTGATTTTGGTTTAAAATTAAAAATTATGATTTTTAAGACATGTAAAACAAAAACAATTTTAGGCAAAATATGGCTTTTCATGACCATTCCATTACCTGAAAGGTCCACATAGACAGTTAATTGCTTTTCTTTTCCCCACTCACAGGTTCTCGCAGTCTGGAAATCTCAATCGGCACATGCGCGTCCATGGGAACAACAACAGTAATAATGGCAGCAATGGTGGAGCAGGAGTTGGAGGCGAATCCTCCGGCGGAAGCGGAAGTGTGGGAAGTGGCAACAGCCTCCTTACATGACAAAAGCCACGGAGTGCAGGCGGTTTCCAGCACTACCACCCCCCGCACACCCACCATATGCACCATCAGCACCACCATCATCACCACGCCCACATGGGCAATTACGACTACGGGAACTACAGCATCGGCGATTACACTCCACCCGGAGCAACACAAAACTATTCAGGGTATTATTTCTGCGCACTTAACAAACCGCCCAAGTTCGAACGATTCTACTAGGGCCCTGAAGCTTAGAGATCCAGTCCAGAAGAAGTCCTTGCAGAAGGTCATACAGACACTGAACCTGCAAAAACCCAATTCAAACCATTTGGTGATTTCCCACGATTATGGAATTATAAAATCTCATAAAATATAACATTTGAAATTGGCAAATGTATTCCAACAACGTATGCAAACTCAAATTTGATCTGCAATATAAACAATGATTCAGATATACATTTATAAAACTTGGTAGTCCACGGAACTTAATGCCATAATTAAGATGATTTGCTGTAGACAAATAATTTAGGTTGCTGATAAATCATTATATGGACGAAACTGTCCCTTTATATCAAATCAATTCCTAGTTAAACCTAATGATACTGTAATCATTTCCATGACCCCTCAACAAAATGCAGTTTAAAATGCTCAAATGAAAAAAATATGTTGGATCGCGGCGAATCAAACAAATGTAGGCCTAAGAGCTGCACTGTACATACTTATACATATTTTATTTATTATATTCGCCTAGCCTAATACGTCTTAAGTCCAATTTAGTTCATCTATGACATAAAATAAGGTAGTTGAAAACACGCATAAATCTATTCCAAATTAGCCAACGAAATAGGATTTAAGTCGGATACGAGTACGAATCATAAGGACAACCAACACAGCAGCACCCAAATCGAGAATATTCAAATTAAAATTGCCAAGGCATAATACACATTAATACCTTTACACTGATATAGTTATACTTACTAAGCTTAACTTAGTTGTAGATGTAAGACAGGTGCTTTGACTTAAGCCAATTTTTGAGTATATAATGAAAAATAATAAATAAATTATGAAATTTAATTACTTTACACTTTCTGCTTTGCTCCTTTTTATACACAGAAATAACTTGCTAATATTACGTTTGGAAAATCTGTATAATGTACGAAGAGAAATTACAAAACTTCAAACAATGTTATCGACTAGGTAAACAGCTTCTGCATCACCTCCACAGATCAACCGACTTCCATGGACATCGAAGGAGTTAACAGCCTTGCGGATGTTGGTCAGCACACCCTCCACATCAACCAGGGAGCGAACCCGGTCACCAGACAACCAAGGGCTATGCCCGTCCTTCTGATTTGGATCGCACCCGAGGGCTTTATTCTCTGACCACATCCATACCTCCCCGCCCTCAGCGGCGGTAAAGAGTTTGCTAGGATCGTTGCGATGAAAGCCGATCTCGTTGATCGGGCTTTTGTGGGCGCTTAGATAAGAGGCGGGGTAGCTTAGGTTGCGCAGATCCCAAACCGTTATAGAACCTTCTTCGCTACCGCAGAGCAGGATGTGCTGCTGCATGGGATGCGTGGCTAGAGATGAAACAAAATTTGATGACTTGTCATCCTGGGAGGCTACCATGAATGTAGAATCCGGCTGGGCCTCCGTAGCCACACGCGTGTCCAACAATCGGATCACTCCCATCCTGTTGGCGGCCACCAATTCTTGCTGGCTGATATAGCAAATGGATAGCAACCCAATACTGTCGGCCTCGATTGTGCGCTTCACCTGGCGCACATTGTTCACGGAAACGATGTTCACACATCCATCCTCGCCGGCAGTGGCAATATCTGTGCCGTAGACGGATAAATCGGTGCTAGGTGCCGCCTCCTGGCTGCGCTGAAAACAGTGAAGCCTTGCGGATCGAGATGTGCGCTGGATTTGATCTTCTTCCACGGCTCGTTGAACGTGAAACAAGCTAAGGTGACCTACATATATCGTATTGGAAATGTATTTATTAAGATAGGTAAGGTCATATGCATTCTGGAACTTACCATCAGCACAGCTCACAGCCAATGTATCCTTATCCACGAACTCCATGGCGGTCACGTCGTCCTCTATAGCTACCTTATCCATGCAGCGCGGCATTTGATCCACATTGTCCGACTCCATGGCGATACCATATTGGTTTGACTGCAGCCTCCAAATTCGCACGAAGTTCCTGTCCATATCCCAACTGCCGGTGACGAATCTCTCACTTTGCTGCAGTTGTTCCGGCAGCCAACGCACCCGAGAAACCTTCTCGGATATGTAGTGTGTGGAAACATTAGTAATGGACATCTTTTCGGTGGTCTTTCCAGTTTTCGCAATATAAACAAAACGCTGTTTCCCTCCAATTCAATGCGGTTGTCTCTTTATCGACGAAACTATCGAAGTGTCGATAGTCCGTTTCGATAGTTAGATAGATGCCAGCTGGTATTAAGTCTTGGGAGGGAGCAATTACCTTGGTTTGTGCCGTGACTAACAGTTTGTTTTCTTTTTAAAATATAAACAGTATTTCTGATATATGCGGTATTTTTGTGATGCTGCCTTACTAAACTTTTGGCGGGAAATATAAGAAAACAGTGAGCGGCGCACGAAAACGGCAGATTATGGACAAATACTTAATAAAAATGCCGATTAAATCAAAAACAAACGTAGTTGAGAAACCAGTGAGTAAAAAACCAAACACGTGAAGGTGAAATGGTAATTAAATAATACTTTATAGGAAAAGGTAATCGTTAAAAAGGAGACTCCTAAAATGTCCAGAAAACCAGCAAAAAAGGATACTCCAAAGGAGGTAAGGGTTTATTTCATAATAATATTATGTACACCAGAGCTTAAAATATCTTCTAACACTAGTCCTCGCTTATCTTTTCAAAACCATACATACTGTACTAGAATGAAAGTTACATGTGAAAGACATTCAGCCGATAAGAATGTATACATATGTATAATGAATATATGTGAAATATATATAAATTTATTAATATACAACTAATATGTTTCGTAGTTAAAGGACAAAGAGAATACTGGAGAAGATAATACCCCAAAGCAAACAAAGGCAGGAAGAAATGGCAGACAGGCTGCCAAGCGAAAGAATTTGGATACTCCTGAAGTGGTAAGGAAAAAAAATATTTTAAATATGTTTATTAAGATATGTAAGCAACGTTTATATAGAAAGACGATAAGATTAAGGAGGAGATTGAGAATCCGCCGAAACGCCGAAGTTCCAGACTCACAAGAAGCACCCGTTCAATGGCCGAAGATGGATCTCCTTCCCCTGAAAAGGAGAAACCCGAGAAGTTACCTTTTATCAAATACAAAGGGGCTATTAAGTACTTCACGGAGAACCACGATATAGCCTCATCTGCAGAAGAAGTATTGTAAGTGAAGAACCAAGTCCTCTATACAATCGAAGAAAGTCAACGATAATATTTTATTATTGTTGTAGTAATAATTCTGCGAACCACTATTCATTAGTAGATTCATATTATTAATTTAATTGTTATTTTTTACATCAGACAATGGGTGGAGAAACAAAAGGACGAGATAGTGCCGATGGCCTTTGACATGGAGTGGCCCTTCTCCTTCCAAACCGGTCCCGGAAAGTCCGCTGTCATCCAGATTTGTGTGGATGTGAAATGTTGTTATATCTACCAGCTAACAAATCTAAAGAAACTGCCTGCAGTTTTGGTGGCCCTAATTAATCATCCTAAAGTACGGTTGCATGGCGTTAACATAAAAAGGTAAATAGTGAACGTGGAAATTATTAAACTTGATTACTCAACTTCGATTTTATAGCGATTTCCGAAAGTTGGCTCGTGACTTTCCAGAGGTTTCCGCTGAACCTCTGATTGAGAAATGTGTGGATTTGGGAGTGTGGTGTAATGAGATCTGCGAGACCGGCGGCAGGTGGAGTTTGGAGCGTTTGACCAATTTTATAGCGAAAAAGGCGATGGACAAAAGCAAGAAGGTGCGCATGAGCAAGTGGCATGTTATTCCGCTGGACGAGAATCAACTGATGTATGCTGCCATAGATGTCTATGTAAGTTTAAAATGACTTTCTCAAACGAAGTCCCTCAATAATATGTTTTATTAAAGATTGGTCAGGTTATATATCTGGAATTGGAGCGCCGTGACAAGGCCAAGACTAAAAACGAAGACGAATTTAAGGAGCAAAATGGGGATGCGGCCTTTAAAGCTGTTAAAGCATTGGGAGAGACCTTTTTGGCAAAGATCAACGAGGTTACTCTCTAAGATGTACACTTCTTCAAATATTGCAATTTTATAGTTAAGCATGTCTGTTCAATTATTTGGGACCTTTTCTCACTAAAATATTTCTAATTTCTAAAATTGTATAGTAATTTGTTACCTTAAAAACATTGATATATTAATTCATTTCGACATTTAAATTACTTTTATATATGCTTACCACAAATTTAAAAATTATATCTAGATATAAGAGAATTTAATGTTTTGACTTAGATCACACATTGAACAAATTTTTACTATACTACGAATTTTACAACATGTATTCTTTGTCGATCTTAGTTATAGTTCAGTTCCCCGAAAATTTGATTAGGATTATACAATTTTCTACATTTCTTAACTTGCAATAAATTTTAATTTTTTAAATTCGCATTTAACATTTCTAAACACATAATGAACACAGTTGGAGCTGCCAGTGGAGGCGTCACTTAAACTGAGGTCGACGGGTGCCGATGGCCTCCAGTTTCCGCTTGAGCAGATCGTTATCTATATCGATCTGGCGCTGAAACTTCTTCCGGTTTACGGCAGCACTGGAGAGACGCGGCGCCGGAGGTGGCTGACGCTGAAAGGCAACGTCGAGGATTAGTATTGGACAGAATGTACCAATTTTTGTACTCACCTTCTCAGGAGCGTTGATTTTAAGTCCGCTGGTGCTTGCCTTGATAGTGGCTGTTGGCTTGACAGTCATCATCTTTCGCAGTAGGATCTGATTCTGGCGCTCAATCTCACGCACTTGTGGATTTGTAAAACTGAAGCTCTTTCGTCCCAGGTTTTTGTAGCTACATACAAGGATATTTATTAAGTTTTTTTTAAAACATTTTAATAAGAGTTCTTACTTGACTTTATCGTTGGAGCACCGGGAGCGTGACACATTGATTGGATATTCACAACCCTCGCTATTAAAGCTGCTTGGAGTTCCACTGGCCGCTCGCTTGTTGAACTCCTGGGGTCGGCGCTGTTGGGGATGCCTCATGAGTCCGTCACCCTGACCACACTCATCCATGAGATAACTTTCGTCCATTCCCATGTCCATACCCATTCCCATGCCAACGTTCGGATCTAGACTCTGTCCGAAATCCTGACCCATCGCCAGTTCGTCATCCTGCTCGAGCAGATCCGATTCCGAGGGACACCTGCATTTGGGTCTAAGTATCTTAGATGACCGCGTTGTTATAAGTGCCTCCTGGGAGCGTTGCATACGCATTCGCATCGGAGGTCTTCCTCCTCCCAAGCTTCGAGCACTGGTCAATACCGATTCAGTCGTCGATGCCAACTCGGATTCAGTGTCCTCGCGTCTGTGACTACGCTGTTGCATCAACTCCGTGGCCATGGCAAGTTGCTCGAAGGCTTGGCTATTAGGTGAACCTCCATTAATTTGGAAGGACTTCATAATCATCTCCGACATCTGGGTCATCTGCTGTTCCAGGTAGCGTACTCTCGCCATATCAGGTTGCTCTATTAAGGGATCACTATCACTCAAATTTGTATTAGGGTTTTTCATGGGATCTTCCATTAGATTCTCCTCCAGTTCATCATGCTCTATCAATGTTTCACGAACGGGATCGGTTTCAGATTGCTGCAGAATATAGTTATTTATTTACATAATCTTATATATTTCTCGTCTTTTTAGCTTACCAGCTTTTGAAATCTGGGAGAATCTTGCAAGGTCATGTCCGTTTCATCACCAGCAACGCACATTATTGTCACACTGTGCTCACTGCTGTTATCACTGGCATCCACCAGAGAAACAATATCCTCTTTGACCAGTGGAATCTTTTGCAAGACCGCCTTTTTACACACAGCCGTCGCTACTGGTTCATCCTCTTCCAGTTGCTCCACTTCCACATCCGTGCCCTCACCGTCATCGCTCTCCTCAACGCCTTGGCGGTCATCGTTTGATTCCACGGTTCCATCGCTTTGGGCACCGTCCTCGTCTGCTTCAATTTCTTCTTCCTCTTCGATTTCCTCGACTTCCGCCTCCTCGTCCTCATCCTTAATCTGTGAATGGGCACTACCTGGCATTAGAGTACGCACCGAGGGCGTTTCATCTTCCAGGGGCGTGTCCAGTCTCAGGCTAAGTTGATTCACTTCGGCCACCGTCTTGGTAACGACCATTTGGCTTTCATCATCGGAGGAGGAACTCAGGTACGACACCATTCGATCGCGATTAAAGCCGCCGGAAGATCTACCGGCCATCTGGCGACGGGCGTGTGGCTGCGGGCGCGGTGCAGGTTGAGGATTAAGACTGAACTGGGAAATGGTTACCTCCTGACGAGGAGGACTTACGTTTCCGCGAATGAACTCCGCCTCAGCATCACTTTCACTTTGGGTGTCGCTTTCCTCCAGAAATTGAGCTTCCTTCGGACCTGGCTCCCGCTCAATATTTTCTTCATCTTCCTCAATATTTTCATCTTCTTCCTCCACTTCTTCCTCTTGTTCTTCCTGCTCCTCCACCTCCGATTGCGAGTCCTCCTCGAATGACTCCTCTGCGTAGTATTCCTCATCAGAGTTCTCTCCAGCTACCGACATCCTGTAATCTTATCCTTTGTCGGTTTTTAGGTAAAGTTCCTTTCGTTCTTCAGGGTGTATTTAGTTTTTTTGGGGAAAACGGTCGTCAAAGGTCTCAGGTAAAACGTGTGTCTTTCTGTAGTTTGTATCGAGAACTGCCGAAACTTCAAAAGGGCTCAAACTTTGAATTTTAATGCGTGCATGAATTGTAGCTAATTGTTTACTCAGTTCGATTAACAGCTAGTTTGATGCGTTCTTTTGATTGACACCTGGCGGCTCCACCAAGTTGGGGCAGGTGCTACCTCCTCCACCTCCTCCTCGGTTCTTCCCCTTGTGGGAAAACTTGGCGCATTCCACGCTGCTCGCAACTTTGACTCTTTGGCTGCCTTGCGGTGGCGCTGCCAACCGTCGACTGGAGCTCATGTGACCGGAGTACACCTGCACCACCCCACAATCACCCACCATTTGACACCTAGGAATTTATTTATTATAGCCACCGGTTGTCCTGGACAACGGAGCAGGCGCAGGCGGTTTGTTGTTGGTTTCCTCAGTAGCGTTTGCCGGCTTTTGTTTGTTTATTATTAAAAACACTTAATAAATTAAATAAGGGATGAAATAGCTAAAAATTAAAATTAAATAATTTGGTTTATCGGATTTTGTTTATATTCTTCTTTATTTAAGAAATATAATCAAAAAGTTGTATGAATCTTCTTAATAAATTAAACTTTGATCAGAAATTTCTTTTGAAGGCTTAATAATATTATAAAGAATTGATTTATTAGAAATATGAAAAATACTGTAAATTCCAATAATAATTAAAATTAAAATAAATTAATCAATTAAAATATTAAGTTAAGAGTCTAAATTAATTTTAATGATATATCCCCAAAAAGCTCTTGTTCCGACGCCACTGTACGGAAGAGCTTGCGCTTCAAGACTTTCTCGTTCTCGCTCAACCTCCCTCTCTTTGGGGCATTTCTCTCGGACTCTCTGTTACTCTCCTGAAATCTGACAGTTGAATGAAAGGCGAAGCGGCGTCAAAATCCGCCGCCTGGCAGCTTCAAATTGTAAATATTGCGAGCGGTCTTCTCGCAGCTACCAGCCCAATAGCCTCTCCGGAGTCATGTGTCTAGGCAGTGCGCATGGGCGCAGAGAACCACTCCCCTTTGAAGTTCCCTCCTTTGATTGTCTTTCTTTGAGCGAAGCGGCTGCTGTTGGCCAGCGGGCAATTCATTTGGCCAAGAAGCTTCGTGGCGTGCGGGCGTGTTGCTGAGCCGGAAAATGCGCGCGTAAAACCGTGATAGATGTGTGAGAAAATTGTGGCCCGCAACGGGAAAATTGGCAGAGCAAACAAGCGAGTGTGTAGCGTGCCATGTGCTTGTGTTTGTGGAGTGCGTGAATGAAGTGCCACGGAATCGTAGCGGAAATAGTTTGCTGGCCCATCGACTGGCCAGCCAGTGCGGGTAATTACCCTGGCTAAAACACCATCTTAGCCAGCTGTATAACCGGTGCCAGAAAACAAACATTCTTGGCTTAATGAACCCGTTGTCTTGGTCAGCTTTAAAAGCGCTCGGCAAAGCGTGTGTGGAATATGCGGCGTATACGCAATATTGGATTGTTGAAACAACTTGAATATGGTAGTGAAACTCATGGCGTATACGCAATCTTAACCAGCTTTAATAACCGCAGCACGCGGCAGATGCCTTTCGTTGTTTAATCAATAGCATATAGTTTAGGGAAAATTTCATTTTTGGCTGTCGCTCCTTTGCTCCTTTGTCTTTTGCATGCGTTAATGTCCTTTTGCAACAGTCGCCTAAGTAATTGCAAATTGCGTGCCGCAAGTTTACAAGTTATTTCCTTTCCTCCGTCCGTTCTCTCTCACTCTCTCTCTGCCGCTTTCTCTTTTTCGGTTGCAGCAATTTGGCTAAGAGCTTGCGTTGGTTGGGGGCAGGGGGTTGCGGGGGCGGTTAGGTGGGTCAAAAGGCGCAGCCACACGACACCAGCAAACAGCCGCAGCCAGGCCAGAGCCACAGCCACCAACCTACAACCTACAACCTGAAACCTCCAACTACAGCCTCGAACCACCAAGCCAACCATCAGCCGCAGTCAATGCGGCTAGACCAAGAGCTCCAGCGGCATCAGAAAGTCTTGGCTTGGCTTGGCCGTGGATTTAAAAAATAAATATCCGTTTAGACACTGAATACCCCTTAAAAGGAGGATACAGAAAATAAGTCTTAAACAAGCAAATAATACTGTGTAATATAAAATGGAAACTATAATAGGATGAGACTTAATAATTAACCATAGAGAAGTCTCTCAAACTTTGCAACATTTTTAGTAACTTTAAAGCATGTTCAGTTTTACCGACGGATCTTTCAGTAAATTTTTTTAAATAGTGAAAAAATAAAATCTAAAAAAAGGCAAAGTCATGATTATTTAAAGAAACATAAATTTACTAAATTTATTATCTTTTTAATTGATACATTTTTCATCATACAAACAGAACAGAATTTTTTGTTTGTAAACTTTTCAGTTGCTTGTTAAATCATTTTTGCTTTTTGGTTTCAGTGCCCAGTGAGAAGGAAATACGATAAAATTGCTTTTTTATTTCGATTTAAGTTTATTTAAGTTATTATTCAATATTTTCATGTGTTTTATGCGCTTTCGTTTTCGTAGATGGTTTAAATTTTTATTAAATAATCTTCTTATTTTAGGCAGTTAATTTGTTTTTTTATACAGAACTAAAGATTACTAGGACGAAATATACCTTATGTAAAGACTCTTTCACCAAAATTTTTAGGCACTTTTTCACTTTTCGTACAAGATTTATTTAATTTATAGCAAAAAGATAGCATCAGTCTTTGTAATTATAAAAGGTCTTATAACTAGACTCCATATTCGGTTTTATAATTTTGAAAGACCTAGCAATTTGATATCAAACTTTCTTTCTTTCAAGGGTATTCAAAACTTCGATTCAGACACAGGGTTAACCTTTCCTCAGAGTCGCTCTATTTTTTTTGTGCTTATCGATTTTCGACGGTTGACTGACGTCGGGGCTTTGGGCCAAAACTCGAGCCGTGAGCCGGCTAATAATGCTCAGTAGGTCAGCGCCGCGGCAGTTTGAAGTGCGTTAGAAGCAACAGTGGCCAAAGGCGTACTGAAACGAAACCGAAAACTGGCACAGCCCAGAAAGAGACAGGAATAATCAAGAGAGAGAGAGAGACGAGGCAAGTTATCGTGAGCAAGAGGGGAATACGAACCGCTGGCTCTACTTGAGGCGTATAAAAATAGCAGCCAGCTCACACACACACAAAAACCCAGTGGCAACTTCAAACGCGCTTGGCCTACTTTTCTGGGTAATGGGCTTGGGACGTCAACTGCTGCTGGTCCTCCTGTTCCTCCTCCAGCTCCAGTTCCAGCTTTAGCTCCTTTGGTTCCTCCTTGCCACATGCCACTTTTCAGCGCACCCGTTCGCCGCAACCAAGTTAAATCAAGCACACTCACAGGGGCACGGCAAAAAACAAATGAACAATATTAGTTAAGAAGATTTTTGTTACCAACTGAAATTCTTTCATTCTTTCTTTAATTCGGTAAATTAAATTATATATTAAATTAGCTGTGGTTATCCTCAAAAAATTCCATTAGCTGTGGTAGCTTTCACTTTTAAAGGTGATTATGCTTATCGAAAAACAACGATGGTCAAAAAATGGCAAATTTCAAATTGAGAAAGAGCTTTTCACAGTGTAAAATCAATAGGATCACCTTCCCACGCAAATGACCAAAGCCAAGGCAAAGAGCGAACAGTTGACCGTGGGGAGGAGAGTTGCAGGAACAGGCACAGCACAGCACAGCACAAGCGGCGTTAATCATACGCATCGTGTGCCAATCCGTGTCCAGCGAATGCAAAGTCAATCAGCGTTTAATTGACAGCTGCAGTCACTGCCAGACACGGCCAACACACAATGGCCGAGAGAAGCCAAAACCGCCCAGCAAGCGCCACTCAGGAACAACAATTAAAACGGCAACCCACTGAACAGGATTTGGTTTCGGTTACGCTTTTGCGTCCTGCTGCTCTGATGTAGGCCATTAGTGTTCCCAAATAAGTTGAGGTGCCACCCAAACGGAATCCGTTTGGAAAGTATTTTTGATTAATGATTTCGAGCCAAGGCTGACATAATAATTGTGGACGAGGACCATATAAATTGTTCATAATCAACAAATTCAGAAAGATAAAATATAAGTAAATATGCTTTAAAAGATAAAGCTCTTAGATTTAGCAGCCAAAAAACGGGTTCATTTGTGTTTGTAGTCTTTAAATGTTTAGTTAAATAATTTTTCTAGAATATCATTGTTATCATAAAAAATATAAAAGATACATTCATTTTTAATTTAAAAATATATGTTGTTAGGCATTATTTTTATTTATTGATTGAACAGCCGAAATATCATTTTATATTTAACTATATGTTATTATTTTCTTCTTAAATAAACACTTTTTTTTAAAGTTTTTACTGTGTAATACTTAAACCAATGCCTTGTTGATGTGCAATAAAACCAATATAAGCCTAATATGAGTAATAAAATATTAAAAGAAAACTTTAAAATATCTAGGATATACGAAGCTTAGACCAAATTTATTTAATTATAAATAAAAACTAAAGTTATGTAGCTTTCTCAATTTATAGAAAGACTAATTGCCTTTATCAAACTTTATTGCTGAGAGGTTATATAAAATCAACATTTTCTTTGCCTCTACACAATTAGCTGTATTGCTGTTTCTGACCAGTGAGATTGTTTTTCGTGAAAAGAAGGAAAATTGCAAACCGCAGAACAAGTTCAAGTCAGCTTAGGAAGACCCCCCGACAGTCGTTTTACCAACATCTCCCCCTACATTATTAGCCATATGGCTGTCAGAGATTGGTGGCAGTTGCTGCGGCAGCTCGAAACTTATCGCTCGATTGCAGATTGTTTCTCGGCTGCCAAGACGGCGCCGCAAAGTATGCAGCACTAAGTAGTCACAAGTTGGCCCTTCTTTTTTCTTTCCTCCATCGTCCTTCTTTCATATCATGGCATTTTCCAATTAGAACTGCCTTCTGGCCTGGCCAAGAGAGAGGGGCCAGCAGTGCTGGTGCCAAACATGCGTGGCACGTGAGCGGCAAAGGTAAAAACTTCTCGTTTCCCATGTGCGTGTGTGTGCATGTAAATTACAAAATCGTGCAAAAAAGGTGCCATTAAAAAGGCAGAAACAGGCAAAAAAAAAAGGAACAACAGCCACCCCAAAACACAAATGGGAACTTTAAAAGAACATCGAGTTGTGCATACCCTAGCAGACCTGTTCAAACATTCATGTGATCAGCAAAAACAGAAAGAAATCAACAACAGAAGGGGCATTCATTGGATTTGCGAAATAAAAAGGATAAACATGGGTGAAATCCTTTTTTCTAATACTTTATTTGAGGAATCCCAAATATTTTTTTACAGAAACATTACCGTAATGGCTTAGTTTGCGAGTAAATATTTATTTCTGTTAAATAATTAATTATGATTTAAGTACATTTTTAAATATTTTCTCTTTATTGGTTCAAGAATTTCTGATTTTAAGTTGTTTTTGAAAGACTTTTTCCGATATGTCTTAAACTGCTCAGAAAACTGTGTATTTCCGTTCATATTCTTCTGGTTTATTTTCAATTACACATTTACTTATTTTGATTACCTGAATTTTCACTTAGTAAAACGATTAGAATGTATTTAGCTGAAGTACATTTTTATATACCTGAAAATTAGTGTATTTTGTAAGGAACGTCGAATGTTATGCCTGGCAGGGCAGCAATTTAAATTCTCGCTTCACGCCCTTGTCACGCCTCTGCCTTATTTTGTGTCCCCGCAAACATTGCGTATACGCCGCGTTCTCCTACTCCCCCTTCCACACGCATACACTCTCTCATGCGTTACCTATATTCCATTCGTTGCCGTTTCGCGTTGCGTATACGCCGCGTACTCCCGTTTCTCACACCATTTCTGATGCGAAGTGCGTGCGTGTGCTGCATAATTACAGGTGCGCTGTGCTGTTGCGGTCGTCGATGATGCGGCTGGCTCTGGCGGTGCCAGGAGCACAGTTCCCGGGTCATAATTGTCGGTTGAATGACTCTCGATGCGATAGCAATAACAACAAAATCAGCTGCTGCTCCGGCAACCATAATATTCATCAATATCGTTCCATTTGACGGAGTGGAGAAATAGCAACAGCAACAGCAACAACGAACAAATTGCCAACAGCACCACCGCTAAAATTTCGGACATTGCGTCATGTTAGCAAGGGCACAGCGAACCGAAAACACAACACTTCAACAGCAACAACAACAACTACAACAACGGAAACAACAAAAACTAACTTCAACAACATTAAATAAAAAGAGAAAAACTCAAAAGATAAGGAGACGATCATCTTCATCAGGATTAGCTGGGGGAAAAGATGGTTCTCAGCACCGAATGGTCGCAGGTCGAGGTTATCGATCTGATCAACGATGGCAACGGTCTGGGCTTCATCCTTGTGGGCGGACGGAGTACCGGGGTGGTCATCAAAGCCCTGACGCCGGGGGGCGTGGCCGAACGAGATGGGCGACTTCAGCTGGGCGATCATCTATTGCAGATTGGCGAAGTCAATCTGCGGGGCTTCAGCTCGGAGCAGGTGGCAACAGTTCTTCGTCAGACCGGAGCTCAGGTGCGTCTGATAGTGGCGCGGCCGGTGGAGCCGACGGCCATCGATTACCAAACGCTGGCCTGTCAGGCGCCGATTATACCAACTAAGCTCCTCTCCGACCCGGAAGAACTGTCGCGTCATCTCTTCCAGAATCCGAGTTTTGCAACAGCCGCCGCGGCCGCGGCTGCCGCAGCAGCAGCAGCGGCTGCAGCAGCAGACTCCAGCAGCGGATGTGGCGTCTTGGATGTTGCCAGTTTGGTTGGTCTGGTACGCGGCGGTCCCGCTGAGGGCTCGGAACTGTCCGCCGTGGAACCACTACCACCGCAGGTGGCTCAGTTACAGATGACCGAACTGGGCGATCTGGCGGACTTTCCACTGCCTCCGATCCCGGGTGGCGGCAACTCGCTGCTTACGGATTCCAACGCTGGCCAAAGACCTTGTCCGCGACTGGATCTGGATATAGTGCCCTTCTCGATACTATCGCCACCGCCACGCCCCGCCCTACAGATGCTGCCCCTGGAGACCCAATGGCGATCCGTTCAGGATCAGAACCAGCACATAGAGACTGTGATAGCCGACAGCAAACGAAAGCTGTTGGCCAATGAAGATGGCGGCGGCGGTGATTCCGCTTCCGGTTCGGGTTCCGGCTCCCCCGACTCCTATATGGACTCCCCGGAAACGGAAACATACGTGGTGGAGCTGCATAAAAATGTTTACGGCCTGGGCATCACAGTGGCCGGCTATGTCTGCGAGGAAGAGGATCTCTCGGGTATTTTCGTGAAGAGCATCATCGAAGGTAGTGCCGCGGAGACAAGTGGTCAGATTCAAATTAACGATCGCATTGTGGCCGTAGATGGCAGATCCCTTTCCGGGGTGACCAATCATCAGGCGGTGGAACTGTTGAGAAACACAGACATCGTGGTTCATCTAACCCTGGAAAGATTCCTAAGAGGTAGGAAGTACGAGCATTTACAAGTGGCCCTCACGGAAATCAAGGGAAGTTCCGCACCCTCTGGCTTGGATAGAAATCAGGAGAAAGACCAAGACCAGGAGTCGCAACTATCTATGCCTGGGTCACCCTCGATAGCTACATTGAGTTGGTTGCCACCGAAATCATTGGATGCCGATTCCATAGCCACCGACGGCGATGAAGCCGTTGAGGCAGAGGATGTGGGCATTTCGGGTGCCGATGATGAGTGCATTGAGCTGCCATCCCGAGACACCGTAGAGTCGAACATGTCGCACGTGCTGGACCGCAGTGATCACAGTGGTGGAGTCACAAAACCCAATATCAGTCTAATAGCTCCGCTAACGAATGGCCGGAGCCTAATCCTGGCCGATGACAGTGGCAATGACACCGATGAGCAGTGTCCTGAGCCGGAACAGGAAACGGCAATGGTCCGAAAAGGTTCAAAGCCAGAGACGGAGAGATTTAAAGAACTTGAGGATCTGGAAACTGATACTGATCCCGATCCCGGACAGTTGCCAACGCCCACGAATGAGGCACCTGTGAAAGCGGCCAGCCCGACGGCCGCCTCGCTGCGAGTGGCATGGAAAAGTGAGTTTCCCGACAGTGAAATTTTAGTTGCCGAAATAAATAAACTTTCAGGTCTAGGGATCAGCCTCGAAGGCACCGTGGACGTGGAGTGCGGCATTGAGAAGCGTCCGCATCATTATATTCGCTCCATACTGGCCGACGGGCCAGTGGGTCGCCAGGGCATCCTGCGGCCGGGAGATGAGCTCCTCCAGGTGAACGAACACAAGCTCCAGGGATTGCGGCATATCGAGGTGGTCAAGATCCTCAAGGAATTGCCCGCCAGGGTTAAGTTAGTCTGTGCCCGTGGCACTCGCGTTCCATCGGTTATAAATACCTCGCAAAACCCGGAGGCCTTTGAAACTCGTAGCCTTTTGCCCGGTGGCCACCAGAGTCTCCAGAACCTGCTGAGCAAGGCCCAGTCGGAGAGCTCACTGTACACGTCCAGCACGGCGACTTTAACAGATGCAGCTGGAGCAGCTGGCGGATCGGGAGGGAATGCAGCTGGAGGAGCTCGCTCCAAGTCACTGGAGAATGTCTCCGGTTTGGCTCTGTGGAGTTGCGAAGTGACCGCTGTGGATATTGAGAAAACGGAACAGGGTTTCGGCTTCTCCATACTGGACTACCAGGATCCACTGGACTCGGAAGGCAGTGTAATCGTGATTCGCGGCCTGATACGCGGTGGTGCTGCGGAGGCAACCAATGAGATATATCCGGGTGATCGCCTAATGAGCGTCGGTGATCGCCTGCTTCAGGGTCTCGAGTTGGACGAGGCGGTGTCCATATTAAAGGCCATGCCGCCGGGACTCACACGACTGGGTATCTGCCGACCATTGTCCGCCTCGGACAGCAACAGTAATAGCAATATAGCCTCGCCGCTTGGCGATTCGGCCAGCACATAGTGTCAGCCCATCCCCGACGGCCATCAGGAGTCGGAGATAGAACTGGAATCGGAAACGGCAGCGGAAGCGGAAACGGAACAGGAACTGGAACAGTTCGCATTGTGTAAGTACTGTTTTATATTTATATTTTAAACTTTTTTTAGTTAAGAAAATCATAAGATATATCAATATAGAGAGATACATATATGTTACAAAAATCGGTTTGAAATTGAATGTTTTTTTTATGAAAATTATTATTAATACAGTTTAAGCTTAGACTTTATCTTAATTTTTGGAGGGCATTTAACAAATCAACTATTTTGACAATGCCCTAATAATGTCAAAATATATTTTGGAAAAATTCCTATATTCTTAGAGGTAACAAAATTACTCACAAAACAATATATTTTTTCAAGTATTAACTAATTAAATCTGATTTAGTCTAGTTCGGCTGTTTATTTCATTAAAATTTGATTGCTTTGTTTAGTCTACTGATTTTAAAATTGTGCGAAGAAACTAATGGCCTTCAGGAATGTTTTAATTACAAGTTAATAGTGTTATTTACCTCTGTGGAAAATGAAAAGCAAACTTATTCATCTGGATTTTCCATCAATTTTCGTACTTAAATTTTCAATTTTAAGTCGGCAAAAGATATTCATTTGTACACTTTCACGAAAGCTCTTGAATTATTAATGCCGCAGCTGTTGTCAAAAGTCAATATGAATGCGAATCGAATTCTTATTAAATTGTCACCTGTCACACCTGGCACCAATTTCCCTTTATGATTTTTCCTTTCACTTTTCCTCCGCATGCAGCGTTAATCAAGTGACAGTTTATTCATGGAAAACCTTTTTATTTTCGGGCGGATGGAACCCTAAACGTTGCCACATCAGTGAGCCCCCCCTGAAGTCAATTTCCTGGTATAACATTTTGGGTTAGCCCATATATATGAGATTTTCGTTTTTAATTGTTGCCCCTGGTAACGCCCAAAAGTCATTTCAAAAAGGTCACGCCCACCCCTGGGAGGAAATCGGATAATAAATGTGAATGGCCCATTGTCAAATTGATGACCGCTTGATATGCTTTTGAAGTAGTTCGTTTCTCGAATTACGCCTGTCTTTTTCTTTTCTTATAAATATATATCTATATATATATATACATTCTTTTATATATATGTATTGACCAAAACCTTTTCGTGTGGCTAATTTGCAGGCAACCCTTTTACCTTTAATGTGGGCTATTTTCCTTTATAAATATTTTGTTTGACTTTTTGAGTGGGGAATGTAATATTATTTTTAGATTTCGTACTTCCCTAGCAACAACGCTATGAGCTTAAAGATATAAGTCAGAACAATACATTTTTATATATCATTTCATCTATATTCCTAGTTTCAATTTGTTAGTTATAGCCTTGAAATTCCTAGAATAATATTAATTACCACCACTTTCTTCACATTTCATCTGTATCATTTTGCTAAGCAAATAATTCTTTTAATAACTAATTACCAAATTTCCCTGTTAGCTGACATTATTCTTGTTATAATCTTAGCCACACACACACTTATCTTCGTGTTTAATTCATTAGATTTGTAATTAAACAAAGACTAAATTGCAAGGCGTTTGACATATGCTGAAAACTTTTAATACCCAACACCTGAGAGAAAGTGTCTACAAGGCAGTTGGGTCGAAACTTTCCCTCTCTCGCAGAAAACTGAAAACCAAGTTTTTGGTCCACACAGTTTCTGGGATGGGCCTTGTTCACGCATAAATAATTTATGCATAGATATAAATACAAAAGTTTGACAAGCCAAGAGCACTCTGGCTGGACGAAGGATAAACTGAAAATTACCACTAATCTCTTGGGGTCGACATTTTCCCTTCATGTTAACCTCATAAATAGTAATTATCTTAATTGGCTCTCGCTGTTCGCATTCATAATTTACAATTTGTCTGGCTGACTGGCTGTTCTGACTGCTTTGGCTTTTGTTTAAAAAATCATTATTTAGCAATATTTTGGTCAGCATAAATAATAAGGGAAAACGAATGCTGTTGGCTTGGCCAAATGATTTATGCACGTGGCGATAGCGAAAAGTTCCTTGCCTCAAAACTAGCTGGATGATGGGTGGTTCGCCAGGTGCGAGATCAGGTGGTCTGGGAATCGAGCAAGTGGCGGTTGAATAATAAAAGCTCGGCCAGCAATTATAAAAATGTTTGCTATACGAGGGAATTTTTTCAATATATGTATATATATATAACTACGTATATACATAGCCCGCAGTGGCCATATAGAGTTATATGTACCCGCGGATATTTATGCAAGTGTGTGTAAATATTTGGGTGGATAGTCGTTTGTTGTTGTTTGCCCGTTTAATTAATTGGCTATTAAAAGTGTTGAAAATTGAAAACAAAATTTAACGCCGCTGCAGCAGCAGCAGCAGCAGCAACAATAGCATAAAAATAGCTTACCCTGACCCCGACAGATTTTGTTGGTAAAAACAGCAAAAATAGCAGAACAAGCAAATTGTTTTGAATAAGAAATGGCTTGTAAATGCAGGAATTAAATACTATAATCAATATATAATTATTCCTGCCTTTTAATCCCATCAACTATATGATAACTGTAAAAAGGGAAAGCGAATTTCGCGGAGTCAATACCCTGGGTAATAATTCACCCACAAAAAGCGAATTAAATGCCCCACAACAACCACATGGACTCGATGTTGGCCTTTTGTTTACCATGGCGGGCAAAATATTTACGCAATCAAAATATAATAAGCATAACAAACAACACTTTATAAAGGTATTATTACGAAAACTTTACTTGTGAATATAGTAGCATGGATTATGCTGTGAAAATGGTCATTAATTTGGTAGTTCAAATTCTCTCATTTTATGGAAAGGAAAAGCTGAACTTTCTAGAATTCTAACTATTTATTCAAAATATCAGAATAATTTAAAAACTCATATTATCTTTATTAGTTAAATTGTTTAAATCAAGAAGCATATGAATTGTTTCTATTTTTTATAACTTTAAATATTATAACAAAATATTTGAGCAATTTCTAAGCAGAAATCTTAAATTTTATGACTATTTACAGCTTGAGAAAAACTAAATTAAAACTAAGTTTTATAAATTTTAGAACAAATAATGAGGAAAATATTTATTAAGCTATATATTTAGCTTCTTCTCATATTTTAAGCATATATAAATTCTTGATTTTTATTAACAATCAGTAATCGAAAAGTTGAATCATTTCTTTAGCCTTTACTGAGAAGGCCTTCAATAACGTGTTAATTAATGAGACTCGCGTCATGCCCCAATATTTCCAAAACGAAACGAAAAAAAAAAAACAATGAATTGTTTACAGTTGGCAGCTTAGCAAGCCTGATGCGCTGGCGTTGCATTTTAAATCAAATGAATGTAAACAATGGCAGAGATGTCAGGTTGGTTGGACAGTCTGCCAATTTAATGCAGCAGCAGCGATAATAATAATGGTTCAAGAACGGCTGACAGACGGCTGGGTGGATTTGCATTTGTGGCGTTGCAATTCTACAAATGTAAATATGAAATACAAACATCATAATTCCACAGGCCCAACATGTGTGGGCGATTAATACTGCAAATTTTGTGCCTTTGTTGAAAGCCACTTGCATTTGCTGTTGGATTTTCAATTTGCTGATTGCCATGCTCATGAAAAGCACTTCAAAGAAAGCTGCCAAGGAATTTATAATTCATTAAACTTTATTATTTTCTTATGTGAATTTCTCAGTCAAATATTTTTAAAGAAAATCAAAGAAAGGATTTACAAGCTAAGCTGGGGATTGTAAAATTAAACAATTTCTCTGCATAAATATAAATAGTTTGTGTGATTTTCTTTGTTTCATATTTGAGTGCATAAATGTGTGGTAAATATTACATATTTCAAGGAAAGTGTTGCATTTCCTGCATTTAGAATTTTTTCATTAAAATGGCTTTGGGCCTGATTGCTGGGTTCTTCGAGGATATTTGCGCTTACAAGTATAACAGACTGCAAAAATAATTACGCCAGAACAAAAAACTCATTAAAACGCATTGCTCACACACCGCAAACATACCCATCAGTGGGTGTGTGTGTGAGTGAGTGAGCTTTCTAAATTTCCACAGTCTCTCTCCTTTTCCCTTGCCTGCCATTTCCATTTCCGTTTCCTTCGCCTAGGAGTGTCGGCCATGCATGGAAATCTATCAACGTCTGTGCCTGGAAGGCACTCTCCCAGTTTTTCTGCTGGAATGCCTTCTTTTGTGCACAGCAAACAATTAATACCGAAAACATAGTTTGAAACTTTAGGTTATTAAGGAATAACTTTAGAAGAAACTAAATTTTAAACGGGAATCGAAGTATGCATTTTATCGCCACGTTTCTTAGATATCATGAATATATCTTTGGGAGTTATATTGCACTTCAGATATTACGATTATGAAATAACCTGTAGCATGTAGGCTTGCTGGTGTTGTACTAACCATTTTTTATAATATTTTTTTTAAGATTTTGTCTAAAAAAATACAAAAGACTAACCAAAAGCCTGTTGTAGTGGCTTAAACTCATTTGAAAAGCTTACAAAAATATGAATGAACTGCGCGCTTTACACTATTTAACACAAATTAAAGTAATTGAGTTCAAAATATATTATTTTGTAACCCTGAGTTTTCCCCAGTGCACTCGTGTTTAAGCACGCAAGCGGGCCCCGGCACAAAAAACATTTATTTAATGCAACAATTGTGTAGATGAGGCAGCTGCCGGATCCGGGGGAATGGTATGAAGAAACAATAACGGGGCAAGAGCATAATACAGATAGCGGCAAGGAAGCGCAGACTATACTACATACTCGTAGACCCCTCTGTACCTTCTTCTTCCTCCTCCACCCTCAGTTCACCCTCTTTGTAATTGTCTGTGCATGAACTTCAAGCTTACACTTTGCAGCAACAGCAACAATCACAACAGCAGCAACAGCAACAACAACAACTAGTTGCTGGCTTTATCTTGGCATATCGACAACAAGCTCATCATCCCGTGCTTTGTGAGTTCCCATCACCCATCATCCATACGTCCCGTTGGCCCAATGCACTCTCGAATGCGTTGAATATGA